TTTTCTTATTTCAAAATCACATGACCTAAAAAGTGATGACTGAAGGCTTATACCCAAGAAATAGGGAAATGAATCAGCTACAGAAGAGAAGGGGTTAGGAAAGAACCTATAAGGGAATATATATTCATAGTTCATCTGAACTTCTTGCTTAATATACAGAACTATAGATTCATCAGTGGTAAACTTTAATATTTGACCTCAAAAATCACAGAAGGCAGAAAAGGTAAAATGCCTGCATTTTTTAAAATTCAAATTTCTTTGTTTCATAAATAGGGCGAAACAGAATGAAGAAGTGAAAAAAATTTTTCTATAGCCTGGCATGGTGGCTCATGCCTGTAATCCTAGTGACCTGGGAAGCTGAAGGGATAGGACTGCTTGAGGCCAGGAGTTCAGTACCAGCCTGGGCAACATAGTGAGACCTCACCTCTATAAAGAGTTTTAAAAAATTAGCCAAGTGTGGTGGTACATGCCTGTAGTCCCAGCTACTAAGGAGGCTAAGGCGGAGGATCACTTCAGCCCAAGAGCTTGAGGTCACAGCGAGCTATGCTCACTCCACTGCACTCTAGCTGGGTGACAGAGGAATATTCTGTCTTAAAAAAAATCCCCTGCATAACTCCATGCAAGAGTTGTATTAAACGTTAACATTAATGTTAAATATTAAGTGTCAAACATTAATGTGTTAATTCAAAATCTTACTTGGAAAACAAAACAATAATATGAGAGCTAATTTTATTCCCCCCCCCCCTCCTTTTTTTCGCTCCATTGCCCGGGCTAGAGGGCCATGGCATCATAGGTCACTGCAACCTCAAACTCCTAGGTTCAAGCAATTTTCCTGCCTCAGCCTTTTAAGTAGCTGGACTACAGGTGCACACCACCACACCCAGCAAACTTTTCTATTTTTTTTGTAGAGATGGGGTCTTGCTCTTGTTCAGACTAGTCTTGGGCAATCTTCCCGCCTTCACCTCCCACAGTGCTAGGATTACAGGCATGAGCCACCGCACCCAGCCATTTTATTCCTTTTACAATGGTCTTCTTATGCTCATATTTAAAAAGTTTAATGAAAGGTTATGGAAAATAAAACAACAGTCTGTGAACAGCAACGTTTTGTGGTAAAAGAGCTTTGAACAGAAGACATAGGTTTGAACACCAGGTTTGTCACCTTACTAGCTGTGCCATAGTGGCTTTTGTGAGCCACTCAACCCATCTCAACTTCAGTTTCCTCCTTATAAATCAGAAATAATACCACTTTATATCAGGAGACTATGGTGAAGATCAAATAAAATGATGGGTGTGATAGCACCTGACTTACAAAATGTACTGGATAAAAATTAACTTCATTCCTTCCTTCAAAGTAGGGTTAGAGTTGTTTAGTTATTTTTGTAGAACTTAAAGCATGCATCTTAGGTTCTGGATAATGTTTCTCAAAGTGTGACTTAAATCAGAATCTTTCATATTCCCTCTGGAAATCTGTTTCTTTCCCAGTCATCTTCATCTCAGTAAATGACTCCACTGTCCATCTATCCAGTTATAAAAGCCAAACCAATTCTGGGTGTTGGATTTATAAATGTTCATTATTACTTTTTATTTCTTACCTGAGATGGCTTAATTTCTACAAAAAAAGTAGTGGTATAGTTTTCTATCCATTCCTATGGGCAATGGTCTCAGTTACTGATGGGAATATCAACTTGATTCCTATCTCTACAAGTGCTACCAACATTGTTTATGCAGTGGCAGAGAACAGTAAGTACATTTGACATATGGGAATTTTTCTCTTTTGTAACTTTTATTTGTTAAGTTCACTTTCTATAGGATCATATTGCAACCACCCCTTTCACCTGGTTTTTTAATGTTTCTCTCAGCATTGAATGGTGAATGGAAGACAAATTAGAAAAGTCAGAGTGGGTAAGAAGGTTAAGAAGCTCCAACCACATCACTTCTAACCAGGTAAACTTGTAAATTCCCTTTGAAAGTTTCATCTAAATTAGTTTCATCTAAAAAATGGGAATGCGATAATCTCAACTACTCTACCAGGTGGTTGTAAGAAATACATGTAAATGTATGTAAAAGTGAATGAAATAAATTTACATAAATGTAACATATTACCATTACTTAGCAATGCTCAAACTTTCAAACTCACTATTAAAAGTTTAATTTGAATTTAAACATTTGAAAAATTTATTTTCCCCCTCTAGTAATCTAGATTGTTTCTTTTTCTTTCTTTTTTTTTCTGAGACAGCGTCTCGCTCTGTTGCCCTGACTAGAGTGCGGTTGCGTCAGCCTAGCTTACAGCAACCTCAAACTCCTGGGCTTTCCTTCTGCCTCAGCCTCCTGAGTAACTGGGACTACAGGCATGTGCCACCATATTTTCAGTTGCCCAGCTAATTTCTTTCTATATTTAGTAGAGATGGGGGGGTCTCACTCTTGCTCAGGCTGGTCTCGAACTCCTGACCTCGAGTGATCCTCCTGCCTCAGCCTCCCAGAGTGCTAGAATTATAGGCGTGAGCCACCACACCCATCCTAAATTGTTTCTTATTAGCACTCTTTAAATCTCCAGTAGGTATCCTAGGAAATGAAGACATATACAACAGCTTCTTTCTGATAATTCCTGGCCACAATAGCTTTCCTCTCTATCCAGGCCCCTCCATGGTCAGCTACAAGTGCCTACTTTCCCTTTCCCATCCTACCTCCTCTCACACACAACCAATCTCCAGCTTTCCCACTTTGACCCCTATCCCCACCACCTGTTATAAACTGAATTCTGCCCCTCCCCCTGCCAAATTCACATGTTGAAGTCCTAATCCCATAATGTCACTGTATTTGGAGAAAAGGCCTTTAAGAGGTAATTATTGCCGGGCGTGGTGGCTCACGCCTGTAATCCTAGCACTTTGGGAGGCCGAGGCGGGCGGATTGCTCAAGGTCAGGAGTTCGAAACCAGCCTGAGCGAGACCCCGTCTCTACCAAAAATAGAAATAAATTAATTGACCAACTAAAAATATATATACAAAAAATTAGCCAGGCATGGTGGCGCATGCCTGTAGTCCCAGCTACTCGGGAGGCTGAGGCAGTAGGATCGCTGAGCCCGGGAGACTGGGGTTGCTATGAGCCAGGCTGACGCCACGGCACTCACTCTAGCCTGGGCAACAAAGTGAGACTCTGTCTCAAAAAAAAAAAAAAAAAAAGAGGTAATTATTAATAGTTAAGTGAGGTCATGAGGGTGGTGCCCTAATCTAATAGGACCTACATCATTATAAGCTTCAGTCTTCAACCCCCAGTACCAGTCTCTGGCCTATTATGAACTGGGCTGCAGAGATCCACCACTGCTCCGCCTATTCCACCTCCGTGGAAAAATTGTCTTCCATGAAACTTAGGAAGGCAGGAAGGCACACAGCAGGAGGTGAGTGGCGAGTGAGTGAGCAAAGCTTCATCTGTATTTACAGCTGCTCTTCATCACTTGTATCGCCGCCTAAGCTCTGCCTCCCCACCCTTCCCTCCACTGACCCATGGAAAAATTATCTTCCATGAAACTAGTCCCTGGTGCCAAAACGGTTGGGGACTGCTGCTTATAAATAGAGTAAGAGACATCAGAGAACTCTGATGCTATTTTATTTAGCTATTCTATCTTCTTTCAAGTGCAAAAGTATCAGTTTTTTTTTTTTTTCTTGAGACAGAATTTCACTCTGTTGCCCAGGCTAGAGTGAGTGCCATGGCATCAGCCTAGCTCACAGCAACCTCAAAATCCTGGGCTCAAGCAATCCTGCTGCCTCAGCTTCCCCAAGTAGCTGGAACTACAGGAATGCGCCACTATGCCCAGCTAATTTTTTCTATAAATATTAGTTGGCTGATTAATTTCTTTCTATTTATAGTAGAGATGGGGTCTCGCTCTTGCTCAGACTGGTTTTGAACTCCTGACCTCGAGCAATCCGCCCACCTCAGCCTCCCAGAGTGCTAGGATTACAGGCGTAAGCCACTGAGCCTGGCCAAAAGTCTCAGTTTTTTTATACTTATCTTCCCATTCTACCCTGGAGTAATCCATTCTCACCTCTGGATTACTTAACTAGACACTAAGTCCCAAGGGGAGGAATTGTTTAGCAAGATTCACAGCTGTAAGTCAGGTGCTTGGCAAGGCAGGCATTCATAAATATTTGTTTAATAAATTACAACCTACTCAGTAAATGTTTGAACAAAATTACAGCGCATTCAGTCATAAAGAGATCTTTGCTCACATGTACTCTTTGTTCACTATCTCCAATCTCTTTCCACTAGCTTCTTGTTTTCACACATTTATAAACCTTCCTATTTAGAACACAGCTTACTTGATACTGCTGCCCTTTCAAATGTCCTGGTTCTCTAATTCCTTTGAATAAGTGGCTGATTTTTACTAGCCTCATTTAGTACCATTCAGTCCTCTTCATTCCTTTGCAATCTGGTATCGGTTCCATCAACTATAGAGGTAAATGAACCATAGTCACCGAGGCCTCCTTTTAAACCAAATGCAGTCATTCTTTCCCAGCCCTTGCCCTCCTTGATCTCAATGTCCTCTTTTGGGCACTGCAGATAATCACTTTCTTTCTTAAATTCTCTACTTTCATGGTGTTGAGGACATAAGGTACCTTTATATTCTACTGGTTGACACAAAATATATGCTAGCCCTATAATATGACCTGCTCCGAATCATAACAAAGCAAAATTTGGAAAGAAAAGATAAAAATAATTATATCAAAGATGATCAAAATTATCCCTAGCAGATACAATCATATGTTATAAGTAAAAGTGAAAATAACTGATTTAATGGATTACCTGCCCAAGTTATTTGTTCAAACACCAACAAGCAACTTCCTTAACATAAAAGTGCTTCCATATTTTCTTTACGCTAGAGAGAAATCTCAGGTGCATTTACTAATTTTATCAACACATCACCTCATTCAATTCTGCAAAAAAAAAATCTATAAAGCATATTTGGAATTAAAACCGTAAAAAAAAGCCAAGAACACTTATTTTGCTCTTGTAAAACTTTATTTCAGTTTAAACAACAAAGCAAATGATATTTATGTCATCCAGGGACAGATGGGAAAGTACAGTCATCCTTCATAGCTGTTTAGCTTCCAACCTCCGTATGAGAGATGAAATCTAGGTAAAAGACACTGATTATTCCAGATTACATTTACCTCACAATCTGAGATCATGAAAATTGGTCAAAAAAGATTATAAAGAGACTTACACGAAGTCACATTCGTAAAGCTGAGAAAGTGATGGCTAACACTTTGGAAAATTCTTTTCTACTTAACACTCAGAAGAATGAATTTTTAAGGATCAGAAATAGAAGGTCCATACCGTAAGTATTAGACACAATGATATGTACTTTCATCAGGATTCAAGACATTATATAAAATCTAGATGTAGGTTCAAACAGTTAGTCAATGCCAAAAATTGAAATCTTATATTTCCTTAGAGGAACATACAAATATGACTATTTGGATCTTGCCTTAATTTATAATTAATGAGTCCATTTTTAATGTTTAAAAAAATTGACTGAGTAGAATTGTTAAAACCTGAAAAAGGTTTCAAATAGAATGTCCCCATTAATAAAAGCAACTGAGAAATCTAATTCAGTCTAAAGATTTTATTTCTGATCAAGTAATCAACTTTTAGTTATTTTCCTGAGCCTGCCTGCGGTTTACAATGTATAACTTGCCAGATTAACTATATCACAGATTTCTAAGTTCTTCTTCCATTGTATTTTTACCCTTTAACGAAGATGTACCTAGAAATGACAAGACAACACAGAATAGCTGTAATGGCCTTCAATATTTTTCTTTTACTAATTAGTCAATCTTATTCCAGTGAAGGCTAATGTCAAATTTATCCAATAGTCTTTGATTTCAGAATTACTTATAATAGTAGAATACTGCATCATATACAGAAATCTTGATCAATAATCTTCTACTTATATCTCATAACCAGTTATCTTTCTAAACAATTTACAAATGTAGAATATGTAATATTGTTTAAAATAAATATACAATATATAGTTTTTACATTCTCATACAATCTTAAAAATGAGGTAATAAAAACTTAACTGATTAAAACCTCTTACCATTCTGGAAATGGCTTAGGGAAATGATGGTGAGATATTATTTTCTTAGGTCTTTTCATGTTTTCTTTGACTGTGTCCAAGTATCTCTTTTTCTATGTTGAAAAATTATGTAAAAAATCCTTAAGCTTTGTTGGATAGTCTGTCATCACCCCAGTTGCTCCCAAATCAAAAGCTCTTTTGTACTCTTGTTCTTCATTTAATACCCAAATATACACCTGAAAATTAGAAACATGAGAAACATGAGAAGAAATATTAAAATAGAAAATTATTTTCATAACATTTATTCAATACAATCTTAGCACATTTAGAAATAATCTTTTAAAACTGTCCTTTTAAGAAATCATTAGACCCTTTTTAAAAATTCCACTTTACTCATTAAATATACACAGTCCCACCCATCTTACATCAACTATTCTCCTATACATAAGAGGACTCCACCTACAGAAATCCCAATGTTGGCCCGGCGCGGTGGCTCACGCCTGTAATCCTAGCACTCTAGGAGGCTGAGGTGGGCGGATTGCTTGAGGTCAGGAGTTCGAAACCAGCCTGAGCAAGAGGAGACCCGTCTCTACTATAAATACAAAGAAATTAGCTGGGCATGGTGGCACATGCCTGTAGTCCCAGCTACTCGGGAGGCTGAGGCAGCAGGATTGCTTGAGCCCAGGAGTTTGAGGTTGCTGTGAGCTAGGCTGATGACACAGCACTTACTCTAGCCTGGACAACAAAAGTGAGACTTTGTCTCAAAAAAACAAAACGAAATGCCAATGCTTTATTGCTAACTGTAAGGAAAGAGTTAAGGTCCTCATCTGTGAATCAGTAAGCCAGCATTATCAGAGTCAGACACTAAATTAAGTCAGTTTAAAGTTCCTGCAGCTTTACATTTGTGTTAAACTGATAAGCTATGCTATTTCCAAAATGCACGATTCCAGAAACTTACTTGAATGCCTCGAGCAGTAAGGTGATCAAACAAAGCTTTCCTCATTAGTAAACTAGAAAAGAAAAGCATAACAGATTAAGGAATTTATTAGTCCTAATTAAGGACTAGAATTAGTCCCAGTCCTAACTTAGTCAATTCAGAGTTTAGTAATTTCTAGTTTAATTTAATCACAATGCTTCAGCAAAACAAGCAATGGCTTTAAGTGATAATGGCTGCTGTGGATGAATTTATGTCTTAACTGCTGGATCTCCTTTCACCAATGGCTGCTAACTGGTGGACAACCAGAACGTCCGTTCTATTCCTTGCTGCTGCCAGATTTTTAGGAGACCCATTCTTGTTGACACAGCTCACTGGAGAGGAGGCTTCCTCACTTTCCCTGCTGGAGCCAGATTGAGAATGAGAAAGAGCTGGGAAGTATGTGTTCCTAATCTTCCAAGTTAAAATAAGGGAGTAAATGTGGGTCAAGTTCTATAATATTACAGGTCAGTTACATAATAGATAACTCTTTTGTAAACAATTTTAGAAACATTATAGTCATTAATTATACTATCCTCTAGCTAGGAAAAAAGCATTTTTTAGTTCCAAATAACTGACTTACAGTGAACTTTTAGAATATGAGCCACTTGAGCAAGATGGGAACTAACTGTATTGAAAAGTTATACATGTCACTTCTGTTATGTGTATTACAATGATTAAATAACAGAAACTAGAAATAGTTTAACACCAATTAAAAATGCATCCTTGAAAACTAGAAATTAAATCAGGAATAAAGCAAAAAGAAGAAACTATGGCACAGAGAAAAGATAAAACTAATTTTCTAAGATTCTTTGAAAGAGGAGTTAAATAATAAAACATAATTTGGGACTATTAAAATATTTAAGCATTCAAGGTTCCATTTTAAAGCAAAATACAGCACAATTACTTTGTGTGTGTGTGTGTGTGTGTGTGTGTGTGTTTACCTAAAATTAAACTCAACATGTCTAAATTAGGTATTTTCTTTTTTTTTTTTTTTTAAATATTTTTTTTCTTTTTTTTAGAAATTTTACCTAGAGAAAAATTAGGTATTTTCTTTAAAGTATATGTCCAACCTGCAGGTGGCACATCTTTCTGCTGTTAAGATTTGGTATAGATTTTTCTGAAAATGTGCCATAGGCAATACGTGCTTTTACATACGCTGTATTCCCACACTCATTTTCACCATGTTTTTGACTGTGGGCTAGTGGAAACAGCAAACAAGTAAAAGGGAATGGTTAATTTATCCCAACTCTGCCGCTAACTAGCTAGATTACCCCAATTAAATCATTTAACTGGGTGGATGGGGGCTCAGTTTTCTCACAAAGTTGGATGAGATTATCGCTCAAGATTCTTCCTAAGGTTTTTTGACTAGGAATTAAGCTAGTTCTAAATGATTGATACATATCCATTTGCATAGTAGGTACTCAATGTGTCCTTGTTACAAATTACATGTGGAAAGCTTACACTACATTTTAAGTATAGTACTTAATAAATATAGCTAAAGCAATAAATGCATATTAAGAAACTAAAATTCTTACATATCAGAAAGCCAGATGAGAAACTTTTGACTTCTAGACATGGTGTCTGGTTCTTTTAGCCTAGGGTGAAATAAAGTTTGAATTACTAATTAGAAACACAGGAACATATCAGTGTGATAAAATAAAACAAGTTCAAAAATGAAAACTGTCTGTACTAGCATGCTCTCAAAAAATATTTGTAAAAGGACAAAAATAAAATATAGCACAATTGGGTTCTATTTCCACTGGTCTCAAGCTAACTTGTTGCTATCATTATTCAAAGGTAAAAAAAATAAATAAAAGTTAACTTTTCAGAGACCCTAGTGTCCTAGGTTCATGACTCTTTTGGTGAAAACTGTTTCTCCTGCTTTGTCTGCTATAATTTAGTATATGGTAGATTTAAAACCATAACCAAACTGTACTATGGAGTAAGAGATATTTTGGGATAAAAGTGAGACATTTAAAGAATATTTTTATTTCCTTTGAAATATTAGTAGACGTGGACCCTGTCCTTTTAAATTATCTTTACTACTAAAAAAAGTTTCTTTGACTTTTCAGGGCTCTGCTAAGCTCCTTCTTCCAATTTCTTTGATGCCTAGAGTAGCACAACTACCAATGTCATTAACTTTGGGTTGTGCCCATAGGAAATCCCTGATCCATCTTCTGTGAAGATTTCTCAGCTTCTTCTAATTTTGTAAGTACACAGTGATTTTCTTTCTCCTCAGATCTTCATTTCTTATTTCATTTTTAACTCCTCCTGTCTAAATTCTTAAGATAATTCTGAGAGTCCCCACACTTAAATTCATTTTTTTCTTTCTCTCTGAATTCAGTTCCTATTAGAAGCTCTCTAAATAAAACAAAGGCCCTTTTTCCCTCTAACTCTGGCCCAGATGGAAAGTCCTGGTGCAATTTCAGGAATCTCAGTGATTTAGTACCTCAAATACGAATTACCTTATTAAACAATTACTATATTGCCTTAGGAAGTATCCATTATCTTCCACAGAAATATTAAAATATACAAAAAAATTCCACATGTGTCTTAATCCATAATCACTTTTTAGACAAAAGATTAATTCTATGCAGTTTGTTCTTATGTCCGCATTTCAATATTGGCTTTTAAAACACATGAAGATCAGTTTCAGCAGACATGTATGAACAAAAAAAAAAACAAAACAAAACAAAACACATGAAGATAATCTAGAGCACACAATAGTCTATTCCAGGCCAAAGGAAAGCTAAGTACTTTGGGAATAAATGTTTGGGAATCATTTAAATCTAACAAATGAAAATAGTTTCTTTACAGAAAAGTGTTTTCTGCTGTTTTATCTGGGAAATACCTAAAACGACTGTTTTGTTTGTTTGTTTGTTTGTTTTTGAGACAGAGTCTCGCTTTGTTGCCCAGGCTAGAGTGAGTGCCCTGGCATCAGCCTAGCTCACAGCAACCTCAAACTCCTGGGCTCAAGCAATTCTGCTGCCTCAGCCTCCCGAGTAGCTGGGACTACAGGCATGTGCCACCATGCCCGGCTAATTTTTTCTGTATATATTAGTTGGCCAATTAATTTCTTTCTATTTATAGTAGAGACGGGGTCTCGCTCTTGCTGAGGCTGGTTTCGAACTCCTGACCTCGAGCAATCCGCCTGCCTCGGCATCCCAGAGTGTAAAACGACTGTTAATAAATATAATTAGGAATAGATAAAATAAACATGCCCATCACTAAAAAACTCAAATTGGGAAAACAGGCATGAAATAGAAACTGAACATGAGTACTGACCAAATCGTTTTTCTTTCTTTCTTTTTTTTTTTTTTGAGACAGAGTCTTACTCTTGCACGGACTAGAGTGCCATGGCATCAGCCTAGCTCACAGCAACTTCAAACTCCTGGGCTCAAGCGATCCTTCTACCTCAGTAGGCAGGTCCCAAGTAGCTGGGACTACAGGCATGTGCCACCATGCCTGGCTAATTTATATATATATATATATTTAGTTGGCCAATTAATTTCTTTCTATTTTTAGTAGAGATGGAGTCTCCCTTTTGCTCAGGCTGGTCTTGAACTCCGGAGCTTCTGCCCACCTCGGCCTCCCATAGTGCTAGGATTACAGGCATGAGCCACTGCACCCGGCCCAAATTGTTTTTCTGACCAATATCGTCTAATGACTGCTGCAATTTATGTTCTGCTTGATTTTTCTTCCCAAGAAATTAGCTTTATTGAGACATGCTACAGAAGAGGAAAGCTTTTCAGCTTGATTTTTAAAACTTCTATTTGGGGTATGAAAAATGTTTTCATGCAAGTGTGAAATCACATTTAAATGATCTCAGGAACTCTAAATTCCTTTGTTATGACTCAGTCATTATTACGAATCTCAGCTAGAAATCACATTCTAAGTGTGTAGAATTTTGAGATGAAGCTATCTTTTTTTAATAATAATTTAACAATTAAAGCTATCACTTATTGAGTGCTTATTTTCCAAACAATCTAAGTGTTTTATACATTTTTATCTTTATAGTAAATTGAATGAAATGCAAAGCTTTGTACCTAGTAGAAAAATTACATAAATATAGAAGTTATTTTACATAAACTAATGGCTACCCTTTTCTTTCTCCTATCTCCAAGGGTTTTTGAGGTAGTGGTGGTGGTGGTTTTTCTTCATAAGTATATTACAGTAATACTACCTGAGAATCTGGAGTTTAATAGAATTTCAGCTGCATATAGTTGTCAGTGAAGTAGAAAGAAGTAATGGAAGTTGAAGAGCAATTGCTATTTGATGTCAGAATAAAAGAATTATTGGCTGGGTGCAGTGGCTCACACCTGTAATCCTAGCACTTTGGAAGGCCAAGGAGGGAAGATTGCTTGAGCTCAGAAGTTTAAGACCAGCAAGAGCGAGACCCCTGTCTTTTTTTTTTTTTTTTAATAATAAAAGAATTATTAACCTCGTGTAATTAAGTTCAATATTTTTGAGGTGGGGGTCTAACTATGTTGCCTAGGCTGGTCTCAAACTCCTGGCCTCAAGCAATTTTTCCACCTCAGCCTCCTGAGTAGCTGGGGTTGCAGGTGTATGCCACAACGCCAGACTCAAGCTCAATTATTTTTACCTGACTTCTCACTACACAGGCACAGAAAATCATTATAACCTGAGATGGGTCTAGATTAAGTACAGGCAATCTTTTATTATTTATTTTGGAGAATGTGTCTTAATTATATCAAAAAGTATTGTTGATGTAGGTCAGATAATAAAATATGGAAATAACTACAGAAATCTCCTCCTTCTCATTTATATTGATATTACTGAGCCTATATCTTAGTCCTCCCATAATTGATAATTGATAAAAATTGAGTAACCACTTACTTCAATAAGATAGAAGGCATTGGGATTTCAAAAAACTGTTCTCGAATGGGCACAAAAGGCAAGAGGCCAGTGAAGAAAAGGCCAAGAATGAGCAGAACCCGTTGTAGACTGAAGAGTATAGGAATATCTGAATTCTAAAAGACACAAACAATATTATATGTTACTTTACAACTGCTCAAATAAAGATTATTTCACAACTCTCAAATTTTGCCAAGACTACATCTTGACATCTATTATAAGCATTCCCTGAATTATGAATATCCATTGACAAACACACTATACTTATAAATGGCTAGTCTCTGACAAATGGGTTAGGATCTACCTTGGAGTCTTACAGTGCAATTAATCATTGTTACTAAAGCATATATATTCCCTTCTCTCTGCTTTTGCAACACTGTTTCTGTCTGTTGGTAATAGTATTTAGAATTAGAAACTATTACCAGAATGTAATGGAACAAAATGAAGAAATGGATATATAAGAAATGAATATATAAGATATTCAGTAACCTTACTTTTGTTTTGAAAATATATAGTTATCTATCTATACGTATGTGTACCTATAGATATATATATCAAGACTGTTGCAAATATATTATCTTTCAGCTACCTTATGAATCAAATATAAAATACAAATAACATTTTAGGCCAGGAGCAGTGGCTGAAGCCTATAATCCTAGCACTTTGGGAGGTTAAGGCAGGAGGATCACTTGAGCCCAGGAGTTTGAGGTTGCAGTGAGCTATGATTGTGCCACTGTATTTCAGCCTGGGTGACAGACTGAGATCCTGATTCTAAATTTTTTTGTTTTAAAAAGAGATTTTTTCTGTGCACTGGCAAGGGTGAAAAAATTAAAAAAAAAAATAAATAAAATAAAAAAGGGATTTTACGCCTCTAATCCTAGCACTCTGGGAGGCTGAGGTGAGCGGATTGCTCGAGGTCAGGAGTTCAAAACCAGCCTGAGCAAGAGCAAGACCCATCTCTACTATAAATAGAAAGAAATTAATTGGCCAACTAATATATATAGAAAAATTAGCTGGCATGGTGGCGATGCTGTAGTCCCAGCTACTCGGGAGGCTGAGGCAGTAGGATTGCTTGAGCCCAGGAGTTTGAGGTTGCTGTGAGCTAGGCTGACGCCACGGTACTCATTCTAGCCTGGGCAACAAAATGAGACTCTGTCTCAAAAAAAAAAAAAAAAAAAAGGGATTTTGTAAGTTAGTCCAAGAATCTAACCACCATTTTAATTTTCTATTGGAAAATGTGCTCAAGATCCCAAAACTTAAAATGCCAACTGAATATATTATGCATATATATATATGCATATATATATATATAGGGTTTTTTTCTTTTTTTTTGAGACAGAGTCTCACTCTCTTGCCTGGGCTAGAGTGCCATGGTGTCAACCTAGCACACAGCAACCTCAAACTCCTGGGCTCAAGCGATCCTTCTACCTCAGCTTCCCAAGTAGCTAGGACTACAGCCATGCCTGGCTAATTTTTTCTATATATTTTTAGTTGGCCAATTAATTTCTTTCTGTTTTTAGTAGAGACGAGGTCTCACTCTTGCTCAGGCTGGTCTCGAATTCCTGATAGTGCCTGGCCTGTATATATTATACATATTTTAATTGTGCTAAAATACACATAATTTATCACCTTAATGATTTTTAAGTGTACAATTCAGTGGTTTTAAGTATATTAACATTGTTGTGTAACCAACCTCCAGAAGTCTTTTTATCTTGCAAAACTGAAACTCCATACCATTAAACAACTTCCCATTCCCCCTACCTCTTCCTCTCCTACATTTAAAAAAAAACAAAACAAACAAATAAAAATTATGGTTAAATTGAATTTTTCTATAAAAAGTAATATATTAAAAATCATCCAAAAAGTAACTTATTTTAAATAATTAGCTATGAATTACCTACTTTTTATTTTAAAAAAGAGTAAATAAGTTTGAGAATTTATTTTGCCCCTGTGTTTACATGGTGCTTTTAAATGTCTTTGGCTTATTTATATACAGGTTTTCAGCTGTAACACAATATACTAGTCTCTGAAAAACCTTGAGTTCTGCAAATTCATTACACTAAGGATAACAGAGCTTATGAGAAAAATAGGGTTGGGCCTGACTCTCAAAGCTTATGCCACTTTGGAACCAGACAACTAAAAACAATAATTGGTACTTCTGGAGAGCCATGCAAGGCTGCCAGTGAGGGTTGGAGGGACATTATGCTGGCAAATGTTTAACGACTAGCTGTACCCATCTTTTTTTTTTTTTCTGGAGATACAGGGTCTCACACTATGTTGCCCAGGATAACTTGAACTCCTGGGATCAAGAGATCCTCCTGCTCAGCCTCTTGAGTAGCTGGAACTACAGGTGCATGCCACCACACCTGGCTTATAACACATATTTTTTAAATTAGAATTTTGGATGGGATTTGAATTTTTTTTATAGTTTGGGAAATTCTATTCTACAGCCAAGTTTAAATGAGAAGAAGTGCTACATTTTCCCATCACCAATGTGTGTCCTGGATTCCTTTTATTTTTATCTTTTGAGTTTCTAGCATCTGGGAATAAAAGGGCAAATGTAAAATTCTTTTTATTTTGGAGACGGAGTCTCACTCTCTTGCCTTGGCTAGAATGCCATGGCGTCAGCCTAGCTCACAGCAACCTCAAACTCCTGGGCTCAAGCCATCCTCCTGCTTCAGCCTCCTGAGTAGCTGGGACTACAGGGATGCGCCACCATGCCCGGCTAAGTTTTTCTATATATTTTTAGTTGGCTAGTTAATTCCTTTCTATTTTTAGTAGAGACAGGGTCTAGCTCTTGCTCAGGCTGTTCTCGAACTCCTGAGCTCAAGCAATCCGCCTGCCTCGGCCTCCCAGAGTGCTAGGATTATAGTCGTGAGCCACCATGCCTGGCTGGCAAATGTAAAATTCTTATAAATCATACTTAAAGAATTGCAAAAAGTGTATCACTTAATTATACAGCATGTTGGTAATTTGAACAACAAATTTTTTTTTTTTTTTGAGACAGAGTCTTGCTTTGTTGCCCAGGCTAGAGTGAGTGCCGTGGCGTCAGCCTAGCTCACAGCAACCTCAAACTCCTGGGCTCAAGCAATCCTGCTGCCTCAGCCTCCCGAGTAGCTGGGACTACAGGCATGCGTCACCATGCCCGGCTAATTTTTTCTATATATATTAGTTGGCCAATTAATTTCTTTCTATTTATAGTAGAGACAGGGTCTCACTCTTTCTCAGGCTGGTTTTGAACTCCTGACCTCGAGCAATCCATCCACCTCAACCTCCCGGAGTGCTAGGATCATAGGCATGAGCCACTACACCTGGCCTGAACAACAAATTTTATTGAGATATTTTTACCAAGATGTTTGGAAACTGCTGCTGAAAGGTTTTTGGAGTTTTTAAATTATAAATGACAGAAACCCAGAGGCTTCTGGAAAAATATGTGAATCATGGGAAAGTTCTGTTATTGTGGGCCAAAAGGGAGATTTTTATTTTGAAATAATTATAGACTCAAAGAAAGTTGCAAAAATGGTATAGACCCATGTACCCTTCACCCAGCTTCCCCAAAATGTGACATCTGATGTTAACACATCAGTATCAAAACCAAGAATTGACATTGGTACATTACTATTAATTAGACTACAGATCTTATCAGTTTTCATCATTTTTTAAACGGCATTCATTTGTGTGTGTGTATAGTTCTGTGCAATTTTAACCCATATATAGATTACCACAAACAAGATTCAGAACTTTTTCATCACCACACAACTGCCTCCTGCTATCTTTTTATATTTGTTCCCACTCTCTACCATACCCTAAGTCTCTGTCACCTGGCAGCCACTAATCTGCTCTCCATATCTACAGTTTTGAGAATGTTATATAAATGGAATCATATAGTATGCAACAGTTTGAGGCTGATTTTTTTCACTAAGCATAATGCCTTTGAGGACCATCCAGGTTGTTACATGTATCATAGTTCACTCCATTTTGTGGCTGAATAGTATTCCATTGTGTGGAGATGCCCAAGTTTGTTCAGCCATTTATTTATTGAAGGACGTTATTTGGGTTGTTTGCAGGACATTATTTTTATGAATAAAGTTGCTATAAACATTCATGTACAGGTCTTTGTGTACATAAGTTTTCACTTTTTCTGGAATAAATGCCCAAGAGGAGATTGCTGGCTCATACGGTAAGTGTATGTTTAGTTTTATAAGAAACCACCCAACTATTTAAGAGTGCAGTTGTACTATTTACGTTTCTACTGGCAGTCTAGAAGAAATCTAGTTTCTCTGCATCCTTTCCAGCATTTGGTATTATCACTATTTTTTATTTGAAAATTTTTCTGATGATATGAAAAGATCGGCAGGCCTCAAGTACTTTACTTCCCTTGCAATAACATCTGAAAATACCAAGACAATGATTATTTATGGACAAGTCTTAGTTTTAAGTACTTAGGAATCTAAAGCCACTCAGCCCAGTTAATTGCTCTGTTCTCTCCTTTATACACAATATCCCTTAGGATCACACAGACCCCACGACACATAAAACTTTCTGGCCTCAATTGTATTTTGAATTGTAATGGTGCTGACTTCGCACATTTTGCCTTCTCTGCTAGGAAGGAAGTCCCTCCCAAGGAGTGCTTCGTATTTGAGAATTGCTACTTATATCATACTTCTTCCGCACTAACTCTTGCATTCTAAAAAGCCTTCATAATTAAAACAAAGCATCAGGCCGGGCGCTGTGGCTCACGCCTGTAATCCTAGCTCTTGGGAGGCCGAGGCGGGTGGATTGCTCAAGGTCAGGAGTTCGAAACCAGCCTGAGCAAGAGCGAGACCCCGTCTCTACTATAAATAGAAAGAAATTAATTGGCCAACTGATATATATATAAAAAAAAAAATTAGCCAGGCATAGTGGCGCATGCCTGTAGTCCCAGCTACTCGGGAGGCTGAGGCAGAAGGATCACTGGAGCCCAGGAGTTTGAGGTTGCTGTGAGCTAGGCTGACGCCACGGCACTCACTCTAGCCTGGGCAACAAAGCGAGACTCTGTCTCAAAAAAAAAAAAAATAAATAAAAATAAAAAAAAAATAAAAAGCCTTCAGTGCTCAAGATTTAAAAAAAAATTTAATTTAAAATTCTCTTAGCTGACTATATCTTAACTTGTTTATGAAGGGTTAGCATATCATTTCAAAATATATCAAATTCATTTTTTATAGACATATTTTCTTCACCCAGAAAATTTTCAGTGGGTATATGGCCCTGCTTTTATATACTACCTGGTAATCATTACCTTGGCTTAATTTGATTAAGTCTGTTTGTGGCATAGATTAAAAAGAAGCTAAAGCTAAAGAGTTCAAGGACTGAATATTTTCTTTAATTCAAAATTACACAAAAAATTCCAATTACTTAACAAAAGACAGTCATTAAAAGATAGGAATCATATTGTATCCTATAATGCACATAATTAAATAATGGTGAACAATTAATATTAGTATGTGAAAATAATTCTGTGAACTAGTACAACTACATTGAACTTAAATTGCAAGGTCCAAATCTATTATCTCTACTATATTATTAATAGTAAACTTCTGGCTAGTTGCTTCCACCCAGTACCATCTGTCTTTGTATGAAGGCTATGATATAAGAAAATTTAAAAAAATTATTATTGTAAGAAACTTATCATTTATAAACACACAAGAACAACAAAGAAAGATCATTCTGTACCATTTTGAAGCTTACCTCTTTGTAGCACTTTTCTACAATTTCATAACTGGCATTACCCCACACTGTTATGTGTTCTCGTTTATACTGCTTCACCAACTCTGAAACCTACATGTGAAAATTCAAAATTTTATGCATGTGCCTATTTGTAAATCCACTAACAACATTTCACTTAAAAAATTAATTATAATTGACTATCTGCCAATGTATAGTAGAAAATTTTAGAAGAACCAATATACAAATTTAGACTATTTTATGAAAGACAAAAATTATTTATATTTTATTTACCATTATATAATTTATTTAATAGAATACAATGATTTAGTAATTTGACATAAACTAACCACAAATGAAACAAGCTAAACTAGAAGTTAATTATGGAAACACCAAATGATTAGTTCATAGGAGCTTACTTTTATCTATGAGTGAGACATGCCAACTCACTCTGAAAATAGGCTCTCCTGCAGTAAAGTGATCTCTTCTATCAGGGCATTATTTAAAACAATGCTGACGCTTAGAGTATCACATTTCCTTGAGCACTAGCAATCTATGCAGTCACCTACTCTAACCTTATTTAGTTTGTGAAATCAGATGCAACACACCCAGAGGAGGTAATGCCTTGAGTACCTTCTTAATCAGCACATTGTTGTTGACTTTGATATCGATGTTAATGGGAGTGTTAGGAAAGGCCTCAAAAACTTCCTTCAGTAATGGCATTCGGTTATCTTTTCCTTCACATTGGCATGCTGAGAAAGCAAGATTTTTAAATGTATTTTTAAAAGATAATTTTACTTTTTTGATGATTAGAAAAGTTATAGTATGGTATTCATTAAAAGATATTTACAAACTAAGGAAAAGTATAAACAAGAAAAAAAGTCATGTAAAATCCAACAGCTTAGATATAATCATTAGGACTATTTGGTGTACTTTCTCTACTTTTTTTTCCTTTGCATAAATCAATACAGTAATGATATAATGTACTCACAGATTTTAACCTGATCTTTTTACATAAAAATAAATATTTTCATATTGGTATACTGTGTTTATAATTTTGATTTGAATTTTATTAATTAAATCTTTAAATTCTGAGATAACTATAGATTCACAAGCAGTTGTAAGAAATAATACAGAGAGATCTATGCACCCTTTATCCTAACTTCCCAAGAGTAACCTCTCGTGAAACTAGTACACGCCCTCTTGTTACGATACGGAGGTGTCCGTTGGTTCGTAGTCTATGGCAAATGTATCTTGCTTTCACTCTGTGAAACTGTATCTCACTCTTGCTCTGTAAACCTATCTTGTCCTTCCTTCCTCAATAAACTTCATTTCACATTTGCCTCTCTTTTGGTGTGTCTGGTCATCCTTCAGCCAAGAGCACACCAAGATCCCAGAACAGAACAGACTACGACTACCATGTTTCCCCGAAAATAAGACCTACCTATAAAATAAGCCCTAGCAGGATTTCTAAGTATTTGCGCAATATAAGCCCTATCCAGAAAATAAGACCTAGTGATGGGCGTGGCTACACAGCGTATTTGCACAACCCATGCATTTCGTCCTGGAGCGGTAAAGAAGACGAGCAGCCCTTCTCATCTGTCCAGTGAGAGCTCTATTGCTCGACATGAGGAATTGGGGCCAATGGTTCTAAAGGAAATAGAGTCGCAAGAAATTCAGGATTGAATTCGGGGTTAGGCATATTATGATGATGTTCCAGAAGAAGACAACTTAACTATATTTGAATAAATTTAGATTGTTGTACCATACTTAAAAAAAATAACACATCACCTGAAAATAAGCCCTAGAGTGTCTTCTTGAGGAAAAATAAATAGAAGACCCTGTCTTATTTTCGGGGAAACACGGTACAACCGGACACAATTTGTTTACATATATTCAAGTATGGGTTGTTTCCTATTATTAATTATTATAAAAAATGTAATTACTTATACTTTTCATGATAAATAAAAACAGGAAACAACCCAAACTTGAGAACATACTATAAAGGTTGCAGAGACCAGATGAAATCACTTTTGTCAGACCCACACAAATATAGCCAGGAAGCCATAAGAGAAGGCTCATACCTAAGAGAAGAACTCATACATGTCTAAGAACTGTTTCCAAGGAAATCCATAAGAAAATCTTTCACATCCTTCATCCATCTTCTGCATTTTTTTTTTTTTTTTTTGAGACAGAGTCTCACTCTGTTGCCCTGAGTAGAGTGCCGTGGCGTCAGCCTAGCTCACAGCAACCTCAAATTCCTGGGCTCAAGTAATCCTTCTGCCTCAACCTCCCGAGTAGCTGGGACTACAGGCATGCACCACCATGCCCGGCTAATTTTTTCTATATATTTTTAGTTGTCCAGCTAATTTCTTTCTATTTTTATTTTTTTACCTTTTTTATATTATAAATTATAAATTTCTTTTTCTTTTTCTTTTATTTTTTCTCTTAGATTCCAAACAGAGAGATGTTTCTATTTTTAGTAGAGATGGGGTCTTGCTCTTGCTCAGGCCTGTCTTGAACTCCTGAGCTCAAATGATCCTCCTGCCTCAGCCTCCTAGAGTGCTAGGATTAGGTGTAAGCCACCATGCCTTGTCATAAACATACTATATAACTATTGAAAAATTTTGCCTTCTATCTGAAACTTTACTTCCATAAATCTGCAAATAACCAAATGGTGAAAAATCCTTTATTCCATTGTATTGTATGGGAAGTCAAAACAAACGTGCATAGATGCATATCAAAAATTTAAATTAAATCCATGTCAGAAAATCAAATTATTTATAAGAACTCATGGGAAAAGCAACATGAAAATGAAAAAATAAAAGGAAAAATCTGTTACTCTACTTGTAACTCTTATGAGGTTCTGGGGCATTATGATGGGACTGTAAATTACTTGGTTCTGCTTTCCTGGCCCCAGAGTAAACACATGATCAGACTGAGACCCTGAGACCCTTTTTTTTTTTTTAAGACAGAGTCTCACTCTGTCACCTGGGCTAGAGTGCCATGGTATCAGCCTAGCTCACAGCAACCTCAAACTCCTGGGCTCAGGTGAACCTCCTGCCCAGTAGCTGGGACTACAGGTGCGTGCCACCACACTCGGCTAATATTTTCTATTTTTATTGGAGACTGAGTCTCGCTCTTGCTCAGGCTGGTGTTGAACTCTTGACCTCATGCAATCCTTCCTCCTCAGCCAGAGTGCTAGTATTATGGGTGTGAGCCACTGCAACTGGCCTGAGACCCTTTTAAGTGTAACGATATGGACACTGGGAGATAAGGTCTGCTAAAATCCTCAGCTGAATGAATCATGCACTTGCTGCCAAGAGTCTACCTCTATGTGGAAAAGGTGTCCTTGAGAACAAAGTTAACACAGATGAAAGCAGAACCAGGAAATGGAGATAGAGACCAATTATTGCTTGAGCAACTTGAACCAGTCACGTCTGAAGGCATATAATTCCTGGGATTTCTAATCATGAGAAACATGATTAGACTTTTTTTTTTGCTTAAACTCTCTTGGGATGGGTGTCTAGCACTTATAACTGAAAGAGTTTAAACTTATCAAAGACTATATAATTTAAAAATTATAGATAAGAGATTTTTAACTAAAATATAAAATAAAATAAAAATTAAGTATATAGTAGACAGCTATTGTTTTCACCTACCCAGCATTCTTCTGTACCTCCCTTATTCTACATTGTTCTGACAGGGCTGTCAATCTTAGTACCCACTCCCCACTCACCCTTAGGGGTGGACATATGATCATAATAGCCCCATCTCTTTGCTTTAAGATGGCCACATGACCCAGACTGGGCCAAGCAGCATCTTTATCTGGGACTTTTCTCTTGAAGATCATAAGGAAGACTGCCTTTTCCCTCTGGAATCACAGGGCAGACAAATTAAAAAATTAATTTACCAGTCAAGAATTAACATGGGGCAATAGCTATTCATACCCAAGTAAGATATATGCAAGAATCAACTTAGAAAAAGGTCAAACAGACAAAACTAACCATGGAACAGCAAAATAACATATATAATAAGGATAATATTGTATCTAATAGTGAGGTAACAAGGAAATTAAAATTTAGGCTAAGAAAAAAATAATGTGCTAAAGTGACATAAATATATATAAGTCAGATACCTCAGCCAGTATAGAATCTAGAAAAATATTTGGAAAAAGAGAAGTTTGTCCCTGCATTTTTCCAGTTAGAGGATAAACAGTTAGGAAATGGTGAACTATGAAAAGGAAAGAGGAAAATAACAGGAAACAGGAAAGATAAGTAAGGAGTATACTATAAGATGTGATGAATGATGGAACAGTGGTCCCTATACCATGCTAGAATGCTAAAACTGATAATTATAGTCAACTGTAGATTCTCTAAATTACATATTTTCCATGAAAAAAAAAGAGGCTACTTTCACATAAGCAGGATAGATAATAATAAATCCTTTGGTTAACACTTTTTTATGTTCCTTCTTTACATTCCCTTTTTAATATAGCCTGTGACACATCAAAGAACCCTTTAAAAGAAAATACTTAATTACTTCTTCAGTAAAGTAGTGAACCACAAAGAGAGCAAGAGGCCTGAAATTCATATTCCTGTAATAGTCTCTCTCACCAGTATTTAAAGAAAAGTAAGGAAGAGTTTTAAATAGGGGAATAGGATAGGAGAAACTGAAGATCTTTCTGACTAATCTGAGTTAAGTTTTTACACTACTATTTATTAGTGTGTTTCTTTGGGTTTTTTTTCTGTAGAGACAGAGTCTCACTATGTTGCTCAGGATGGTCGTGAAACCCTGGCCTCAAGCAATCTTCTGGCGTTGGCCTCCCAAAGTGCCAGGATTACAGGCATGAGCCACCAATCCTGGCCAGCTATTTTTTAGCCTATTTCAAATGCAGTCAACTTAACATTTGAGGAATAGTCTAAAGTTAATTATGATATGTGTTAAACGCAGTATGAAATGAAAGCTTATTATTCTTTATGGTTGACTGAAACTTGAGAGTACATGGCATTGCTATTAATAAAGCATTTGAAAAGACTGTTCAGATGAAGAGGCAATATGGTATATCTGAATACTGGCCTGGTAAAGAGGAGACCTAGTTTCAAGTTCTAGCATTGTCGTTTACTTGCATTTGACAGTTTCAAAGGTCTCTTCACATTCAAAAATTTTATGACTTTATGAGAGAGATATTAAACTAGAAAAAGGTTAAAACATTTTCTTCCTCAAAGGATCTTTCAATCTTTGTGGGGCTTTAGCTTTGCTCAACAAAGGGAAAAATATGAAGAAGTTCACTTCTGAAATTTTCTTAACCTTCACAAGTCCAAAATTGACATAAATATTACAATAGTATGGCAAATATAATCCTATAAATTACATAAAAAAAATGTTTCTTCAAATCAATGTACTTTAATAATACTTACCTGGAAGGCAAAGTCAAACATACATAAGATTTAAATGTCACTTAGAGATAGCTAATTTTAAAATTTTTCTGATTTTTATATGGCTTTCCAATATTTCCCTATTAATGTGAAATTATTAAAATAATGGCTAATTTTAAATCTAGTTCATGGAAGTTACAATTCTTTTTGAAAATTAACATCAATAGATTATTTTTTTTTAATATGAAGCAATGGACTGAGGGGGGATTCAATTTCCTCCCCTTTTTTCTTTTTAGACTGAGTCTTACTCTGTCGCTCTGGTAGAGTGTAGCAGTGTCATCATAGCTCACTATAGCTTCAAACTCCTGGGCTCAAGCAATTCTCCTGCCTCACTCTCCCAAGTAGCTGGGACACCCAGTTAAATCAATAGATACTTGACACTTATCCAAGACTTTTACTATATGCAAACCATCCCAAAGTACATATATTTGAATCATTCAAAATGTGAGGCTGGGGCCGCGCGAGGTGGCTCATGCCTGTAATCCTAGCACTCTGGGAGGCCGAGGCAGGTGGATTGCTCGAGGTCAGGAGTTCGAAACCAGCCTGAGCAAGAGCGAGACCCCGTCTCTACTATAAATAGAAAGAAATTAATTGGCCAACTAATATATATAGAAAAAATTAGCCAGGCATGGTGGAGCATGCCTGTAGTCTCAGCTACTCGGGAGGCTGAGGCAGCAGGATTGCTTGAGCCCAGGAGTTTGAGGTTGCTGTGAGCTAGGCTGACGCCATGGCACTCACGCTAGCCTGGGCAACAAAGCGAGACTCTGTCTCCAAAAAAAAATGTGAGGCTGACTTGTGAAAGGAAGGAACCTATATCTTTTCAACACCTATATCTTTTCAAGGTGATGTATTTCCATTCTAATATGCAGTAACTAATAAATTAGGTCTAGGGACAAGTTTCTTTGTGAGAAATGTTCCCTCTAAAGAAAGAAAATTGCTAAGTGAAGAGGACTAGAAAAGGGTTTATTTGACGGATAGAAGTCTCTTCAACCTTAAAGATATGGAGCAGCTAAATGACAGAATAAATGTTATAGACTGAACCAGAAAAGATCTGAAAGGGGTCCTCCTTCCCACTTTTTTTTTGAGACAGAGTCTCACTTTGTTGCTCAGGCTAGAGTGAGTGCCATGGCATCAGCCTAGCCTCACAGCAACCTCAATCTCCTGGGCTCAAGCGATCCTACTGCCTCTGCCTCCCAAGAAGCTGGGACTACAGGCATGCGCCACCATGCCCGGCTAATTTTTTTTTTGTATATATATTTTTAGTTGGTCAATTAATTTCTTTCTATTTTTAGTAGAGACGGGGTCTTACTCAGGCTGGTTTCGAACTCCCAACCTTGAGCAATCTGCCTGCCTCAGCCTCCCAGAGTGCTAGGATTACAGGTGTGAGCCACCATGCTGGCCCTTCCCACTTATTGTTACTTATTCTTTATTATATTTTTGATGGATGACTACTATAAGGTATAGTAATATTCTAGAATTTGAAGCTTTAGAAGTACAATGTATCCCTAATAATATCAGGGTTTCTCGTAATTACTACTCAGGTTTAATTTACTGCATATGAATTTAAATAGAATGAACCAGTTAAATCTTTGGGCCTGATCATGTCAGGGTCAGATGACTATCAAGGTTTCAGATTTGGACAAGCTTACAGCCAGTACTTTTAGCAAGCACTGATTGTGAGAAGAAAACACATATGCGTTTCTCAGCATAAATATTTAAGCCACAAATGATAAATATTACCTCTTTGAAATGCGACATCCAGTTTGCCAAGGTAAGGTGGAAGCTCCTTTAAAAGATATGATTGAAAAAAGTTAGCTTTCAAAATTAAGAAGTATTTTAGTGTCTTATATTAAGGCATAAAGTGAAGATTTTCTTCTTCAAAATAAAAAGAACACCACATATGTTTACCTAGGGCACCCTTTAGGAGAACATTCCCAATAGCAAATTAACCATATAATTACTTATTTCTACCACCAAGAAATCTTTACTATTTAATTGAGACATTTTCTCAATATCACACAAAGATTTCAGTAGAAAATGTCAAGAATAGAAAACTTCAATGAAAAGAAAAGAAAAAAAATAATTATTTAGAAAAATCTTTAAACTCACTAATAATAGAATAAATGCTAATTAAAATTTAATTTAGGCCAGGCAGTGGTGGCTCATGCCTGTAATCCTAGTACTTCGGGAGGCTAAGGTGGGAGGATTGCAGGAGTTCAGGAGTTTGAGACCAGCCTGAGCAAGACCAAGATCCTATCTCTACTAAAAATAGACAAATTAGCAGGGTATGGTGGCACCCTGCTACTCGGGAGGCTGGAGGATCACATAAACCCAGGAGTCTGAGGTTGCAGTGAGCTATGTGACACCACTGTACTCTACCCAGGGCGATAGAATGAGACTCTGTCTAAAAAAAATATTAATATGGCAAATTAACAAATCTTTGTTATAATTATAATGTTCAATAGTGGCAAATATTATTTTACCCAATAATTTCCCTTCTGGGAGTATATTTAGAGAAAGAATTTTAAATATAAAGAAAAACTGGTGGGGCGTGGTAGCTCACGCCTGTAATCCTAGCACTCTAGGAGGCCAAGGTGGGTGGATCGCTTGAGCTCAGGAGTTCGAGACCAGCCTGAGCAAGAGCGAGACTCCGTCTCTACTAAAAATAAGAGAAAGAGGCCGGGCGCGGTGGCTCAAGCCTGTAATCCTAGCACTCTGTGAGGCCGAGGCGGGTGGATTGCTCGAGGTCAGGAGTTCGAAACCAGCCTGAGCAAGAGCAAGACCCCGTCTCTACTATAAAATAGAAAGAAATTAATTGGCCAACTAGGTATAATATATAAAAATTAGCGGGCGTGGTGGCGCATGCCTGTAGTCCCAGCTACTCGGGAGGCTGAGGCAGCAGGATTGCTTGAGCCAGGAGTTGAGGTTGCTGTAAGCTAGGCTGACGCCACGGCACTCACTCTAGCCTGGTGCAACAAAGCGAGACTGTCTAAAAAAAAAAAAATTAGTGAGAATAAATTATTGGCCAACTAAAAATACATATAAAAAATTAGCTGGGCATGGTGGCACATGCCTGTACTCCCAGCTACTCAGGAGGCTGAGGCACGAAGATCCCTTGAGCCCAGGAGTTTGAGGTTGCTGTGAGCTAGGCTGACGCCACGGCACTCTAACATGGGCAACTAGGCAACAGAGAGAGACTCTGTCTCAAAAAAAAAAAAAAAAAGAAAAGAAAAAGTTGTCTTTATGTAAATAAATAAATACAAATATATATATATTTATAAAGACATATATATGTTTTATAAATATATCATTTTTTTTTCCTTTGAGACACAGTCTTACTCTGTTGCCTAGATTAGAGTGCAGTGGGTTGATTAAAGCTCACTGTAACCTTGAATTCCTGGGCTTAAGCAATCCTCCTGCCTTAGTCTCCTACGTAGCTGGGATTACAGGTACATGCCACCACATTTGGCTAATTTTTAAATTTTTTTGTAGAGACAGGTTCTCCCTATGTTGCCTAGGCTGGTCTCGAACTTCTGGCCTCAAACAATCCTCTTGCCTCAGCCTCCCAACGTGCTGGGATTACAGATATGAGCTACCACAACCAGCCTATAAATATATCTTTATTTTTATCTTTATCAATAACTTTATATACGCACTTAAAGATACAGAAACTTTTATCTTTACTGATAAACATGTTCAGTGTAGTGTTATCTATAATGGTGAAAATCTAGAACTAATCCAATATTCAACAACAAAGGAATGGTTAAAAATAACTATATATCCACACAATGGAATAACTGCAGTCATTTGAAATACTCATGAAAGATAAGCATGGAATCTGAAAGGCTAAATATTGTATGATTTCAACTATATGACATTCTGGAAAAGGCAAAACTAAGGAGATAGTAAAAAGACCTGTGGTTGCCAAGGGATAGGGAAAGGGAGGGCTAAATAGGCAGAGCACAGAAGATTTTTAGGACAGTGAAACTATTTTGTATGATAGTATAACAGTGGATACATGTCGTTACAAATTTGTCCAAACCCAAAGAATGTACAACACCAAGAATAAACCCTAATGTAAACTATGGACTATGGGCAATAATGATGTGTCAATGTATGTTTATCAACTGTAAAAAATATACCATTTCTACCAAAGTTATCAAAAGAGAAGGAAAAAAAAGTACCATTCTGGTGCAGATGTTGATAGTGGGGGAGGCTGTGCCTTGTGTGGGTAACTGTGTGGGTATGTGAGAGCTCTGTATTTTCCACTCAATTTTGCTATGAACCCAAAACTTCTCTAAAAAAATTAAGTCTATTTTTTTTTTAGAAAAGCATGGAAAAATGTTTATCATGCAATAATGTTAAAGTATTTAAGACACAATGTACACAATACATAGTAAGAATACAAATCTAAATAAACCTACAGGGTATACTATATATACCGATAGAACTCTGTTAAAGTAAGTTTTCTTCAGGTGGTAAAATTAGGCATTATTTTTCCTTTCATTTGTCAGCATTTACTACAATGAGCATGTTAACAATTATTATCAGGTTTATATATACATTTTTTATTTTTAGAGACAGGATCTTGCTATGTTGCTCAGGCTGGCCTCAAACTCCTGGCCTCATGGGGTCCTCTTGTCTCAACTTCCCAAATAGCTGGGACTATAGGTATGCGCCACTGTGCCCAGCTATAATCAGATTTTTAAATGGTGCTTTCCTACACTTGAAGACTAAAACTAATACATATCTTTAATCTGAACCAAATAAATTACAGACTACCTCAAACAAGTGCAACTCCAGTAGTTTGACATCTGAGGACTCTGGCAAATTTTTTCCTTATTTTTGTCTTCACTTGGCATGGAAGGACTTTGGTAATTTTATTAAAATTATATTTATGGCAGGGCGAGGTGGCTCACGCCTGTAATCCTAGCACTCTGGGAGGCCGAGGTGGGTGGATCACTCAAGGTCAGGAATTTGAAACTAGCCTGAGCAAGAGCGAGACCCTGTCTCTACTAAAAATAGAAGAAATTAATTGGCCAACTAAAAATATATAGAAAAAGTTAGCCGGGCATGGTGGCACATGCCTGTAATCCCAGCTACTCAGGAGGCTGAGGCAGGAGGATTGCTTCAGCTCAGGAGTTTGAGGTTGCTGTGAGCTGGGCTGACCCAACAACACTCTAGCCCGGGCAACAGAGTGAGACTCTGTCTCAAAAAAATAAAATAAAATAAAATAAAATTATATTTATAAAAATAAGTCTCCACAAATGTATTGGTATATAATACAGATCCTCATTAGAAGTCAGAATAGTTTTTCAAATTTCCTTTGACATTCATTATTTAATCACTACCTTTTAAAACAATTTTTTTTTTTTTTTGAGACAGAGTCTCACTCTGTTACCTGGGCTAGAGTGCCGTGGTGTCAGCCTAGCTCACAGCAACCTCAAACTCCTGGGCTCAGGCGATCTTCCTGCCTCAGCCTTCCGAGTAGCTGGGACTACAGGCATGCACCACCACACTTGGCTAATTTTTTCTATATATTTTTAGTTGTCCAACTAATTTCTATTTTTAGTAGAGACAGGGTCTTGCTCTTGCTCAGGCTGGTTTAGAACTCCTGACCTTAAGTGATCCTCCCACCTTGGCCTTCCAGAGTGCTAGGATTACACGTGTGAACTACCGCACCCGGCCTAAAACATTTATTGAAGCAATATCTGGCATTCACTGTTTTAAAAAAATCTTACAGGCCCTAATAACTATTAGATATTAGTTTATCATACATATTTACTTACACAGTACTTAAGATCAGAGATGTTTACATTGACCCCAGTTGATCTCTTTAGATTCTCATCATGTGACACTACAACTTCTTCATCTTTTGTGATATGGCAGTCCAATTCTAACATATCAGTTCCAATTGTAACTGCACTGAAGAAATAAAGAGAAGAATGACATTCTGAAATTTAAGCATTTAGGTTACATGCATCAGATATAACAATTCAGAGTTACAAATCCAAAAAACCCTATAATACTGAAACATCTCCTCAACACCATCATCTATTATGACTTATTCATGTGAAAATATTCTAAGTGAACTAAGAATAAGAGAATCATGTTGTCTCCTTTCCATAACCAGCTATCCTTAATTCTGACAACCCAATACAATGGAAAAAATACTGGACTAGAGGTCAAGAGATTTGGGCTCCAGTTCCTGCTTTGCTATGAACTTGTATAATTTTGGGCAAGTAAATTTTCCTCCCAGGGCCCACATTTCCCCATCTATAAAGTGAAAGGATTAAGGAATAAGACAAGGATGCTTTCCTTTATCATTTTGATTCACTACAGTATTGGAAATTCCAGCAGTTAGGCAAGAAAAAAAAGCATCAAAATTAGAAAGGAAGAAGTACAATTATTTCTGTTTACAGATGACACAATCTTATATAGAGAATATCCTAAAGATTCTACCACAAAACTGTTAGAACTAATAAACAAATTCAGCAAAGTTGCCAGATGCAAAACCAACACACAAAAATCAGATGCATTTCTATACACTAAAAATGAACAATCTGAAGAGGAAATTAAGAAAAAATATCCATTTATAATCACTTCAAAAAGAATAAAACACTTAGAAATTAACAACCAAGGAGATGAAAGACTTGTACAATAATAACTATAAAACACTGCTGAAATTTAAGAAGATATATATATGTATGTATATAGTTAAAATGTACCCAAAGCAATCTACAGATTCAATGCAATTTCTAGCAAAATCCCAATTTTTTTTTGCAGAAATAGAAAAATCCATCATAAAATTCATATAGAATTTCAGGGGCACTGAATAGTCAAAATCTTGAAAAAGAAAAACAAAATGGAGGACTCTTACTTCCTGATTTCAAAACTTACAACAAAGTAATCAAAACAGTGTGGTACTGGCATAAGGGCCGACATATACATAAATGGAACAGAACAGAGAGTTCAGAAATAAACCCTCATATATATGGTCAAATAATTTTCAACAAGAGTAGCAAGACCATTTAATGAGGAAAGGACAGTGTTTTTAACAAAGGATACCAGGAATGCTGTATTTGCCATGTTAAAGAATGAAGTTGGATCCTTATCTAACATCACATACAAAAATAAACTCAAAAAATTGATCAAAGACTTAAATGCAAGAACTAAAACTTTTAGGAGAAAACATGGGTGAAAAGCTTCATGACATTAGATTTAGCAATGCTTTCTTAGCTATGACACCAAAAGCAAAGGAAGCAAAAGAAAAAAATGGACAAATTGGACTTCATCAAAATTAAAAACTTTTGTGCATCAAGGACATTATCAGTAGAGTAAAAAGGCAACCCACAGAATGAGAGACTATACTTCCTATCACATATCTGATAAAGGATTTATACTCAAGTTATATAAGGAACTCCTATGAACCCAAAACAGCAAAACAAAACAATCCTATTCAAAAATGTGCAAAGGACTTGAGTAGCAGGCTTTCTCTAAAGAAAGTCCACAAATGGGACAAAGCACAGTAAAAGATAAGCAACAGGAATAATCATTAGAGGGCCAGGACCACTACACCTATTATCCTAGCACTTTGGGAGGGTGAGACAGGAAGATTGCTTGAGGCCAGGAGTTGGAGACCAGCTTGAAAAACAAAGCAAGACCTGGTAATCTACAAAAAAATAGAAAAATTAGCCAGTGTAGTGGCACAGGCCAGTAGTCCCTACTACCAGAGAGGCTGAGGCAGGAGGATCACTTGGGCCCAGGAGTTTGAGGCTGCAGTGAGGTATGAAGATGCCACTGCACTCCAGCCTGGGCAATAGGTGAGACCCTCTCTCAAGGTCAGAAGTTAGAAACCAGCCTGAGCAAGAGCAAGACCCCGTATCTACTATAAATAGAAATTAATTGGGCAACTAAAAATACATAAAAAAAAAAATTAGCCGGGCATGGTGGCACATGCTTGTAGTCCCAGCTACTTGGGAGGCTGAGGCAGGAGGATTGCCTGAGTCCAAGAGTTTGAGGTTGCTGTGAGCCTAGGCTGATGCCATGGCACTCTAACCTGGGCAACACAGTAAGACTCTGTCTCAAAAAAAAAAAAAAAAAAAAAATTAGAGGGGCTCCTGTGGTTGAGTATGAGGCAGCAACAGCATTCCAGACATGGGATACATGGGGGTGGGGGTGGTATCACACTACAAAGTGTGTGGAGGATCCAGGTGGCAGCACCCAGGCAGCAGGTGCTGGGAGGCAGTAGGTAGGGGGGAAGAGGGAGGGAGGAGTCTCCTTCTGAGGAAAATAGAGGAGAGTAAAAATGTGGGGTGAGATTTTGGGCCTGATCTCAGAGGATGGAAAGAGGTGGAAACAGAATTTGAAGAAGAGAAACAGGCCTGAAGTGTAGGGAGTGAGGGTATGTAAACATGAAAATGTGAGTATGGAAGGGTGGGAAGGGCCTTGATCAAAGGGCAGTCAGAGGAAAGCCACAAAGAAATTCCTCAACATCTGAGTGTTTTTTATAAAGGTGATGGCACACAGAGAAGCCAGTTCTATGCTCTCTTCAATTGCCCCCTACTTATTCTGTAATATAATTCTCAATTATTTTGTCCTATAGATGGAGGAAACCCCCCATCAGGATCCCATTACAAAAACCCAACGAGCCACTTACTGCTGTTGTAATGAAGCCATTGTGCTACCCAGTGTCTCATACTACAATACTTCACACAAGCCCATCTGCTCCCCCACACCTCTTTAACTAACACCCCACCCTCCCAGCACAATGTCCTGATTACTACCACCTGTTAGAGGAACAAAAAAAATCCTGGTTCTTTACATAAATGATTAAGTCCTTAATTTTAGGTGTCCTCTTCTAAAGCAGTGTTCCCCAACCTTCTTGGCACCTGGGACCGGTTTCATGGAAAGGAGCTCAGGTGGTGATATGAGCAATGGGGAGGGAGGGGAGTGGCTGTAAATACAGTTGATGTTTCACCACTCCCCTCCTGCTGTGAGCTCCCCCCTTTCATGGAAGACAATTTTTCCAAGGTACCAGGGGGTTGGGGACTGCAGTTCTAAAGGATATTAACCTTTAAAGAGAACATTTGTTTGCCAGTTATGTGCTGACTAGGACCAAAAATGTGCAAAATTAAAATCCAAAAAGAAATAGGCAAGCAAAAAGAGTCTTTAGGTTTATAGAATTATTTCTCTGGATTTCTAAATTTCCTAAAATATTATTGTTATACTGTGTTTTTTTTTTTTTTTTTTGAGACAGAGTCTCACTTTGTTGCCCGGGCTAGAGTGAGTGCCGTGGCGTCAGCCTAGCTCACAGCAACCTCAAACTCCTGGGCTCGAGTGATCCTTCTGCCTCAGCCTCCCGGGTAGCTGGGACTACAGGCATGCGCCACCATGCCCGGCTAATTTTTTATATATATATCAGTTGGCCAATTAATTTCTTTCTATTTATAGTAGAGACGGGGTCTCGCTCAGGCTGGTTTTGAACTCCTGACCTTGAGCAATCCGCCCGCCTCGGCCTCCCAAGAGCTAGGATTACAGGCGTGAGCCACAGCGCCCGGCCTATACTGTGTTTTTAATTAAAAAGGTAGAAACTGTAAGTAGCATTCATAAGCTATACACAGTTTAAAACAAAATTCTAAGATCCTTTATATACTATAGCTTAAAAAAAATTGGTACTACTGATTTTTGATCATGTGTACATCTTACTTTCTTTTTCTTTTGTTTTGTTTTGGTATGAGTGTGTGAAGAGAGAGTAAGAGCAAGAGTTATCCACATTTTCATGTATTTAAAAAAATTATACATATTAGTTTAAAATCTTTCTAAGTATGAAGTTAGCCACTAACTATTTCTAGAAATGTTTAGGAATTATTTGAAAAATATTTTATATTTATTATATGTTTATTGTTATTAACAACCTAATCAATCCAGATTTAGAATAGTAGTAAGTATATGCAAGTCAATTTATAAATTATCCTGGTAAATTATCCCAAATTTGATAGGTAAATAGCTAGAACATAATGAGAAAAGAAAAAATGTTTATCACTTTAGCCTTCAAAAATTTCCATAAATGACAACATGCACCAACTTCAGTTGAAACACCAATTTTAATAGCTGAATTTCTGACAAGCTGATGACAAACATGAGAAAAAAGTTAGTGAAGCCAAGGCTTCAACATTTCCTGAAAAACTCCACCTCTAGATGTGGAAAAAACTCCACAGAAACAATGCATAACAGCTTACAACAGACCCTACGTTAAAGAATTTATTTTAATCTCATTTATTCTTCATAATATTGAGGTTGTATTATTATTCCCATTTCAAAGATGAGATAATTAGTCATATTAATTAGATATTCTAAAAAATTTATCATGAGAATCAGGTCACTGATTAATTACTTTGACTGTCTGCCAACTTATACTTCCAGCTATTGCTAATACAATTTGTTTCTTTCTCCTACCATTCATGTTAATACCATAGGGATCATATTGTCCTATGGGTATTTACAAAGGCAGCCTGGTTTAATAACCTAGTTCCATTAGCCCTTAAGAATCAAATTTTACATACTGAAGGGCTTAGTGACTCTGTGTGTGTCTGTGTAAATACAATTCCTTAGTTTTGGGTTCTATGTTTACTATGGAGGGGGTTCTGTCTCCTTCCTCTGTCTTTTGCTAATATTCAGCTTTACTCCTGAATGCCACATTCCATATCTCATTCAGTGAGCAGCCAGTGAGAGTCCATTCATGTCAGAGCCTGAACTAGGCATTAGGGATTGAGAAATCAATAAAGATTCTGGTTCCTAAGGAAATAATAGAAGAGCCATATTCATAAGCTATGGGAGGTGGCATTTGTGAAAGCATTTTATAAACCACATTAAAGGACATTTCATAACTTATGAGATGCAATTATTTTCCTTGTCACTCCTAATTACTTCTTTAGCCACACTATAACATGATGAATTAATTTTTCCTACATTCCTATGGTCTTTTCAATTTCCTAGACAAACTTTGTCTTAATCTGAAACTTTATTTATTTTTTTTAAAACAGGGTCTCACTTTGTGCTCCAGGCTGGAGTGCAGTGGCACAATCATACCTCATTGTCAACTTGAATTCCTGGGCTCAAGTGATCCTTCCATCTCAGCCTCCTGAGTAGCTAGTACTACAGGTACATGCCACCACTCCAAGCTAATCTTTATAAATTTTTTGTAGAGATTAGGTACTGCTTTGTTTTCCAGGCTGGTCTCAAACTCCTGGCCTCAAGTGATCCTCACACCTCAGCCTCTCAAAGTGCTGGGATTATAGGCATGAGCCACGATGCTCAGCCATTTCACATTTTAAAAATAGCTTCTTCTTCTCTTCAAATGATAGCTCTTCTAACCTTGGTGTCTTCTGACTTTCTAGTTAATCTTAACCAGGCTTCTGTGTTAAGATTATAAGATATTTATTAGGATTAAATTAAGATTGTTAAGATACTTATAATTTCTCTAGTATCTTCTCATCTTCACCTCCATGTCATAACTTACATACTTTGTGAAATGTGTATCTAAATATGAATGTAAATAAGATCTAAGTTTTAGTTGGTCATTATATTTTTACTCTCTCTCAACTACTTATCCTATTAAGTACATACCATAGTCAAGCACAGTATTTACCTTTGCTGATTATGTATTTATAACTCTAGCTTTTTAATATCTTATCTTGAAAATGCTATGTTTAAACAATTTTTTCTTGTTCATAAAACAAGCATGTTAAAAATAAAACCTTCTAAGTGTCCCAGCAGTTAAACAGTAAAATATTTATAATTTTTTTAAAAGCACAATAAAGGCTTATAGTAGAGACGGGGTCTCGCTCTTGCTCAGGCTGCTTTTGAACTCCTGACCTCGAGCAATCTGCCTGCCTCGGCCTCCCAGAGTGCTAGTATTACAGGCGCGAGAGCCACCAAGCCCAGCCAATTATATATATTTTATTTTATTTTTTTATTTTTTTATTTTTTTTTTTCGTCAGAAATGGACTACGAAATATATATATTTTAAATATCAAAAAAATTTTCAGGCCGGGCGCGGTGGCTCACGCCTGTAATCCTAGCACTCTGGGAGGCCGAGGCGGGCGGATTGCTCGAGGTCAGGAGTTCAAAACCAGCCTGAGCAACGACGCCCGTCTCTTACCAAAAACGTATAGAAACGAATTAATTTGACTAACAAAATATATATACAAAAAAAATTAGCCGGGCATGGTGGCGGCATGCCCTGTAGTCCCAGCTACTAGGGAGGGCTGAGGCAGTAGGATCGCTGAGCCCAGAAAAGAATTGGGTTGCTTGAGCCAGGCTGAACGCACGGCATACACTCTAAGCCTGGGCAAGAAAAAGACTCTGTCTCAAAAAAAAAAAAAAAAAAAAAATTTCAAATGATCAAAATCCTCAAAAATCTTTTAAAAACTGTGATATTTTCAAATGTAACCATCCTTAAAAATAACTTACTCAACCCACTGTTTTAATTTCATAAATAAAAGTGATTGGTAAGAATTTAACAAAACTATGGAGAAAAACTTATGAAATAATATACTTTAAACATAAAGAATGCTAAAATTGGCCAGACGTGGTGGCTCACACCTGTAATCCTAGCCCTCTGGGAGGCTGAAGCAGAAGGATCACCGAAAATCAGGAGTTCAAGACCAGCCTGGGTAAGAACCCCCATCTCTACTAAAAATAGAAAAAATTAGTCAGACAACTAAATATATATAGAAAAAATTAGCCAGACATGGTAGCACATGCTTATAGTCACAGCTACTCAGGAGGCTGAGGCAGGAGGAGTGTCTGAGCCCAGGAGTTTGAGGTTGCTGTGAGCTAGGCTGATGCCACAGCACTCTAGCTGGGCAACAAAAAAAAAAACAATGCTAAAATTACTAGTTTTTTTCTCAAGTTATACATATCACCTACATCACAGGCAACAAGTGATATGTGATTGCATATGTGTGTATGTGTGTGTGCGCATCTCAGTAGAAACTATACATACACGTAAAATTATATAGCTATATTTAGTTATAGCTAGTTAATCAGATATATAATCTAAGTAGAGAAAATAAAGTCAACTTCATACTGTGTAATAGGAGAAAAAATTTTGCATTTTTTTTTTTTTTGAGACATAGTCTCACTCTTTTGCCAGGGGTAGAGTGCTGTGGCATCAGCCTAGCTCACAGCAACCTCAAACTCCTGGGCTCAGGAGATCCTCCTGCCTCAGCCTCCCGAGTAGCTGGGACTATAGGCATGCGCCACCATGCCCAGCTAATTTTTTCTATATATTTTCAGTTGGCCAGTTAATTTCTTTCTATTTATAGTAGAGACGGGGTCTCTCGCTCTTGCTCAGGCTGGTTCCTCCCACCGCGGCCTCCCAGAGTGCTAGAATTACAGGCATGAGCCACCACACCCAGCCAAAATTTTGCATTTTTGAAAGACTTCTGAGATCATAGCCAAAAAGCATCATATTATAGAGCTGGAAGCATAAGAGATGACAAATAAAAGGAAGATAGGGCTTAGATGAAACTGGAAATGTGAAGTAGCAGTGCCTTTGGACCTAATAGGAAAAATAATCTCAAAGGTATCTTTGTATGGTGAGAAGCAGAACAAAAAGTTAAGTAAAATTCTCCTGATTATATACATAAAATGGCTCAAAAATATACAAGAAAATATTTTTCTTACTAAATATGGATAGGTAATGTCTTTCTTTGAGTTTACTGTTCACATTGCCTCCATTATTTTTATTTTTTATAATAAAAGCTGCTTGTGTGGAACCTGCTTTATTTTTGAGAGAAAAGAGAACAGTGTTCTCACCATTACCGTGGACTGATGATAATCACTGACTCAAAGACAACAAACAAGGTATTAATCAGTTTTCATTCCTGTCTATCCTACTGCTTTTCTGTGAGATGCTCTAAAAGATATCTATGAAATATGAATAATTTAAAAATATGAATTTAAAAAATTTACTGTATTAAAAAAATATAAGATCAACACTCATGAGGCTTCCAAGGTAGGCACCAGATTGCCAGTTCAGGTCTGTATAAAAATTAATGGGTACAAAGATGCATAATCCTATTCATAAATAGCAGCCAATGTAACAGTTGTTTCATTTTCTCTTTCTCTCCAAGACTAATTAGCATTATACACAGTATGTTCCTTGTTACAAATGTCTTCTTCAGCTTCGGAACTATAGTATCTTTTGATTACCCAAAACTCTGATCTAGTTTTTCAGTAATACAGAAGCCAAACACTCTTTGTAACACTTCAGATTAACTAAATTAAAAAAGCAATTTTAATAAATAGAAACAACTATCACAAATAGATGCTATATGTACACTATCCTCACTTAGTGAATCATCACTTTAAAGATAAACTGTAAAAGAAAAAGATGCTTTTTTACATACTTACTGCTGAAAGGCTGTCATTGTATTTTCTAAATTTTCTCCAGCACCTGTGAAAACATTAAATTTAAACTTCATTTACTTAAGTATTTTGAACATTTTGCTTTTCTAGAAATCAATTTTAATAAGATACATCTAGTGAATACTGAGGTTTATTTTGTAGACATCACAAATGTTTCAAAGCATGTAATGGTACAGGTTGAGCATCCCTTATATGAAATGCTTGGGACCAGAAGTATTTTGGATTTTAGATTTTTTTCAGATTTTGGAATATTTGCATATATATAATGGGATATCTAGGAGATGGAACTCAAGTCTAAACATGAAATTCATTAATGTTTCATATATAACTTTTAAACACAGCATGGCCTGTAATCCTAGCACTCAGGGCAGGAGGATGGCTCAAGGTCAGGAGTTCGAGACCAGCCTTAGTAAGAATGAGACCCCCATCTCTACTAAAAATAGAAAGAAATTAATTGGCCAACTAAAAATATTCAACCTCACTAGCATGGACATTTTGGGAAAATAAATAAATAAATAAAACACAGCATGAAGGTAATTTTATACAACTTAAATAATTTTATGCACGAAACAAAGTTTATGTATATTTAACCATCAGAAAGCGAAGGTGTCATTATCTCAAGCACCCATGGGGATAAGCTGGTTGTTTGGCATCACCATCAAACCTAACTCAGAATTTATATGCTACCATTAAGCAATGATTTTCTTACACTTCTTCACACATAAGTACTTAACAGTAAGAAATATGACATACCATTAATACAATGAAAACATAATATGTTGAAGATTAACTAAGAAACACAGTAGCATCACCAGAATACCTGTATTGGCTGTAGGGATGAGGAGGCATTCTGCTGGGTGGCTTTTTAAAATGTTTCCTTCAGAGTCACATGCCTCATTAACAACAGTTTTTGTCTTAGAGGTCTCTCTTTGATGTTCTAAACTGACATGATTTCTTGTTATGAATGCATGCTGCTGTAGTCCTTCAATAAGCTCATCACACATTTTCATCCCATTGTCTACAGGCACTTTTTCTGCCGTGTTAACAATGACATCTTCATTTTCACTGTTACTACGATCATCTACTGTGATTCAAACCATTTTGGCTGTTTCACCATCAGTGAGCCCAAGCCAATGGTACAACATGTTTGTGAAAGCAGTCAGAAAAGATGGCCCTGGTGATCCATCCTTTCTGTTAGCATAATGGACAGGTAAGAAAGTCACTCCTTGAAAATAGCAAAGATGAAAGCTTTTGTCTATCACGGCAAGTAAACCTTGTGTGAGCTACCATGCCCAGAAGAATTTGCATTACTTTTAAAAAGAGGGGACAATAAAAGTATTATGCATATGCCACTTGCCTAGAACATTCTCTTCACCACAGCCTCCCAATCTTTCTTAACCTTAATTCCAGATCTAGTTCACTTCTCAACTCTTCCATGAAGCAATTTCTTATCACTTCAGATTACAACTATTTTTATTACATTTAGGAGTTATCGCCTTAGGCAGGGCATGGTGGGTCATGCCTGTAATCCTAGCATTCTGGGAGGCTGAGGCAGGAGGATTGCTTGAGGTCAGGAGTTCAAGACCAGGCTGAGCAAGAGTGAGACCCCATCTCTACTAAAAATAGAAAAATTAGCCAGGCAACTAAAAATAGAAACAAAAAATTAGCTGGGCATGGCAGTGAGCACCTGTAGTCCAGCTTCTTGGGAGGCTGAGGCAGGAGGATCACTTGAGCCCAGAACTTTGAGGTTGCTGTGAGCTAGGCTGATGCCATGGCACTCTATCCTGGGTAACAGATTGAGCCTCTGTCTCAAAAAAAAAAAAAAGGGGGTTAATGCCTTAAACTGGCAATTCCCAACCATTCTGGTCTCCAAATCCCTTTACACTCTTAAAAATTACTGAATACTCTACTAAAGAGCTTCTAATTATATGGGTTATATCCATTAATAATTATGTATTAGAAATTAAATCCTAGAAATTTAAACTTTATTTCTTTATTTGAAAATAACAATAATAGGCCAGTGCGGTGCCTCACAAATCATGAAATCTGAATGGATCTTTCATCCATGTGTGATTTTATTTATTTATTTTGAGCCAGAGTCTCCCTTTGTTGTCCAGGCTAGCGTGAGTGCCGTGGCGTCAGCCTAGCTCACAGCAACCTCAAACTCCTGGGCTCAAGCAATTCTCCTGCCTCAGCCTCCCGAATAGCTGGGACTACAGGCATGTGCCACCATGCCTGGCTAATTTTTTCTATATATTAGTTGGCCAATTAATTTCTTTCTATTTATAGTAGAGATGGGGTCTCACTCTTGCTTAGGCTGGTTTCGAACTCCTGACCTTGAGCAATCCGCCCGCCTCAGTCTCCCAGAGTGCTAGGATTACAGGCGTGAGCCACCGCGCCTGGCCCATGTGTGATTTTATAATATCACACATTGATCATTTGGAAAATATTGATTCACTAAGTTATACTAATCTTCCAAATGTTGATACATTTCCTGTGCCGGGTGTGGTGGTTCAAACCTGTATTCCTGGCACCCTGGGAGGCCAAGGCAGGAAGATCCCTTGCGCTCAGGAGTTTAACACCAGCCTCAGCAATAGTATTTTTAACCTTTCTCTACTCCCTCACATACTCCTTGTTATGGAAGCAGAAGTGACTGAGGAGGAAGAAGTGATTGTCTGTCTATCTGTGACTCAGAGTTCTCTTAATTTGGAGTAGCTCAACCTCATAAAGAACAAAATTTCTGTTCATTTATGCATAAAGTTTGACAGGGTAGGCCCTGCCAATGCAAGAAAAAGGCCAAATACAAGTTTAGAGAGGGTATTGTACAGCCCAAATTCAGCTCTATTAGTAAAAAGTTAATATTTTGACTTCCATCTATCTGACACTTGCATTTTATTTCTAAACTGACTGCAAACTTGGGAAGGGAAAATAAAGCAGTGTTATTTTTTAGCCTTCTCAAATCCCAATGGCAAGGACTTTGTCTTAACATCTTTTAGAATATCCCACAAAATAGTGTTAAATATATATATATATAAAATGTTAAAAATTATATGATATTTGAAATTTGTTTCAAAATAATCTGGCTAAGAATAGGCAAGGATATAGATGAAACAAGATTAGGCATAAATTGATTATTTTATCTGGTTGATGGGATCATGGAGCCTCACTTTTGTGTATGTTTTTTTTTTTTTTTTCGATTGGCTACATCTGTGGAATTTTGTGTATGTTTGAAATGTGCCATAATAAAAAGTTCAAAAGACATTTATTCTTTGAACTTTTTGTTTTGGAGAAATATGTTAAGAAGAAGGTAGGATAGAAATCCAGTACTCTGAAATCAAATTCGCCATAGTTAACATGATTTTTACTATTAATATTTCAAGCCTGCCTATTTATGGCTTTTATGTCTGTTTTCCATATTAATTTTAATTCACTTAAATCTAACAGCGTAAGCATGCAAACATTGTTAATATCTTTTTTTTTTTTTTTTTGAGACAGAGTCTCACTTTGTTGCCCAGGCTAGAGTGAGTGCCGTGGCGTCAGCCTAGCTCACAGCAACCTCAAACTCCTGGGCTCGAGTGATCCTTCTGCCTCAGCCTCCCGGGTAGCTGGGACTACAGGCATGTGCCACCATGCCCGGCTAATTTTTTATATATATATCAGTTGGCCAATTAATTTCTTTCTATTTATAGTAGAGACGGGGTCTCGCTCTTGCTCAGGCTGGTTTTGAACTCCTGACCTTGAGCAATCCGCCCGCCTCGGCCTCCCAAGAGCTAGGATTACAGGCGTGAGCCACAGCGCCCGGCCCATTGTTAATATCTTTAAACTATTTTTTAAGTTTATTAACTTACATAGTCCTTAGTAAAATATTGAAAGGTGGTTAAGGCATTAATAATTATCAAAAGGCAGATATGCTTAGCTCTTTATTTACTATTTCATTAAAATCCTTACAACTGCCATGAGATATTAACTATCCCTATAAAAAAAAAAACTTGCTAAGGTTACATAGCCAATAAGGGGAACTGAGGTTGAACCACAAGTGGTATGATTTCAAAGCTCATCCTTTTTATCACTAACTATGCTGTATGCTGCAGTTTTCATGCTGCTACTCATGTAGTACCTTTTATTTATTTATTTATTTTGAGATAGAGTCTCACTTTGTTGCCCAGGCTAGAGTGAGTGCCGTGGTAGCTCACAGCAACCTCAAACTCCTGGGCTCAAGCAATCCTACTGCCTCAGACTCCCTAATAGCTAGGACTATAGGCATGTGCCACCATGCCCAGCTAATTTTTTCTATATATATTAGTTGGCCAATTAATTTCTTTCTATTTATAGTAGAGATGGGGTCTCGCTCTTGGTCAGGCTGGTTTCAAACTCCTGACCTTGAGCAATCCGAGTGCCTTGGCGTCCCAGAGTGCTAGGATTACAGGTGTGAGCCACCGCACCAGGCCAGCACCTTTTATTTCAGCTTTACAGATAAATTATTCATATTGGCCCATATTACTATATACTTCTGTTTGTTTGTAAAGCTTGAAGATAAATTCCAGAGTGATAATCCCCACAAATTAGTTGTTAGATCATATGGTGAAAATCTGGAGAGTAACTAAGGGACTAATTAAAAAGTATGATATTCCTCTCCAAGGAATTATTTAGTGGTAACTCTTCTCTCATGAAATGGTTTGAATTCCCTTTCTCTCCAATTATCATCAGATAATTCACAGAAGCACATTTGCCATTAATTTTTATTTCCCCCAATAAGCAGCTTACACAATTCCTGGAAATAACTATTTTATTATATTAGCTCTGCAAATAACTATTTTACATACGAACAAATTTTAGTATTTAATTAGTATGAAATATGGAAGAGAATGAATACCTATCACAGATTTTTACATACTGTCCTAATATATAATAATTTGTTCATAATTCCTCTGCATTAATCCTCCAATCTCCCTCTTCGCCAGTTTACACTTTTCACTTCTTTGAGAAAACCTTCTCTGAAAATTCCCACTTCATTTTATTTATTGCTTCACTATATACTTCCCAATTTTTCATTCTATATTAACTTTTCCTCCCTTACATAGTGCTTCATAATTACTTTATGATTTGTTAATCTCTGATAGGATAGAAAAAGCAAAGAAAATATTCTATTTTGTATTTTTTTACTTGATTTAAATGCTATGAAGGAAAGAAATATCTTTCTAGTTTCCTTCTTATATCCCAAATGTTTTGCATACCAATAAATGTTCAATAAGACTTGTTTTACAGTTATACTTCAACCATCACTATCATTAACTTGTACACCTGATGTGTGCGCTCGTGTAATGTTTATAAAACTAATGACAAATATGACAACGTGCATCAGCCACAAGAGAACAATCTTCAAATCTAAGTATTTTCTGACACTGTAAAGGATAGCTTAGTCCAAATAAAACATATCCTCATGTTTAAGTATTTGATTCTATCTCAACTCAAAATGGAATTATTCAGTAAATTAGGCAATGAAGTTCCTTCTTTATTTCTAAATTCATTTGTTCACTCAACATTTATAGTGTGCCTTGGAAACAGTATATATGACTTATACGGGACCATGAAGAGGTTGAAAAGACTAAAGATGGTATACACAAAAGAACATTTCTCAATTTCCTGGAAGGCCACAAAATTATTTTTATATTTCAAAGGAAAAACTAAATAAATTTATATTTGCACATATAAGAAAAATATTAAATACATCAATATAGCTATTATGTTATCAATGGCCTTTAGAACTGTGTGCATATGCAAAAATATTAGCAAATCACACAAGAGATCACATGACACACAAAAGGATGAAGTCAAACTTTATGTTGATACGCAGACAGCATTTACCAACTAACCATCACATGCATGTTGTCTTCATTTATAAATGTTTTTAATGTCATATTTCAATACTTTTTATAGATCAGTATTTAATTTTTCTAAATTTATATAGAGTTTAAAAGTTTAAAATATATATATCTCCATTGCTAAAAATAAGTACATTTTAAAGCTTGTTTTATTAAGCAGGATAGTACTATTAAATAAATGATAAATTATTCCATTGCTAATAAGCCATCAATAGGAATGAACAAGCCAGCTGTATATAAGTCCTCATTGATGAGTAAGGAAGAGTTCCCTGATAATATGAGAGGAATCAATACCCTCAACAAGAGCTGAGGAGAATCAATACCCTAACATGGAATATGTTTCAGGTATAATTGTGGAATGCTATTATTAAATAATACTTCCAATGACAATTTTTTTTTTTTTGAGACAGAGTCTCACTTTGTTGCCCAGGCTAGAGTGAGTGCCGTGGCATCAGCCTAGCTCACAGCAACCTCAATCTCCTGGGCTCAAGCAATCCTACTGCCTCAGCCTCCCTAGTAGCTGGGAGTAGAGGCATGCACCACCATGCCTGGCTAATTTTTTCTACATATATTAGTTGGCCAATTAATTTCTTCTATTTATAGTAGAGACGGGTCTCGCTCTGCTCAGGCGGTTTTGAACTCCTGACCTTGAGCAATCTGCCTGCCTCGGCCTCCCAGAGTGCTAGGATTACAGGCGTGAGCCACCACGCCCGGCCAATGTTTTAATATTAGAATAATCATACATCTGGTTAACAAGAAATATCAGGTATTTGTGGTTAGAGCAATAGAGATTAAGCCCAAATATTAGCAATTTGCACAGAAAGACCAGTGATTACTATTGTCAATGTCCAACACAACAATTAAAAGCAATCAAGGACATAACTCTTTCCTAGTTACCCATGTCTCTTATTTTCCAGAGACTTAGTATCTTAAGTTACAAAGTGTTGTATCTCCTCTATCACTCTGGATTCAACTGTATTACTTGGTGAACATACCCAACAAAAGCACGTTAAGCACTAACACATGGGAACTTATCACAGTGCTTGCAGGACCATTGTACAGGTAAAATAGATTCTGAATCTGCAGACATTTAACAAGATTACCATGAAAGGTTCGGTTACATCTTTAAATATACAAATACTGATGTCACATTTACAAATAATGCATGGAGGCCGGGTGCAGTGGCTCACGCCCATAATCCTAGCACTCTGGGAGGCTGAGGCAGGCAGATTGCTCAAGGTCAGGGGTTCAAAACCAGCCTGAGCAAGAGTGAGATCCCATCTCTACTATAAATAGAAAGAAATTAATTGGCCAACTAATATATGTAGAAAAAATTAGCCAGGCATGGTGGCGCATGCCTGTAGTCCCAGCTACTAGGGAGGCTGAGGCAGGAGGATCACTTGAGCCTAGGAGTTTGAGGTTGCTGTGAGCTAGGCTGATGCCATGGCACTCACTCTAGCCTGAGCAACAAAGTGAGACTCTGTCTCAAAAAAAGTAAAAAAAACAAACAAATAATGCATGGAAATTTTTATATAAGGAGCGATACTGAAATGAGTTACTACCTAGGGAGAAATATTTTAAAAGCATTTCCAACAATAAATGAGAATTTGAGATCTAGCTTATCCTGATTTTGATACTTGCTTTGATACTTTGATACTTATGATCTAACAGATATTTTTTAACTCCTATAAAGTATTGTGTTTTTTTCAACTGTAGAGTGTTACAAAATTTCAAAGACGAACATGTATTTCTTCTAAAATAAAATTTCGATCATTCATAATGACAGTTTAGATAGCTTTTTGGAGGATCTAGTTTTGTTTTGGTTTTGTTTTTGTTTTTTTTTTTCTCCAAAACAGAGTCTCACTCTGTTGCCTGGGCTAAAGTGCCATGGTGTCAGCCTAGCTCAAAGCAACCTCAAACTCCTGGGCTCAAGCAATCCTGCCTCAGCCTCCTGAGTAGCTGGGACTACAGGCATGTCCCACCATGCCCAGCTAACTTTTTCTATATATTTTTAGTTGGCCAATTAATTTATTTTTATTTTTAGTAGAGATGGGATCTCACTCTTGCTCAAGCTGGTTTTGAACTCCTGACCTTGAGCAATCCAACCACCTCGGTCTCCCAGAGTGCTAGGATTACAGCCGTGAGCCACCCGCCCATGCCCCATCTGGTTTAGGGTTTTTAGTAAGCACAGTTTTCTTTTTGTAAATCAGTAAACCCAACTGTAGTGTGTACTACCTATCTCCTCAATAAGACTACTATCATTTAAAATTGCTTCAAGTTGAATGGCAACAAGTTGAATACTGAAAGTTGGCCAGGCACACTCTGGGAGGCCGATGTGAGTGGATTGATGGAGATCAGGAGTTTGAAACCAGCCTGAGCAAGAGCCAGACCCCTTCTCTACTAAAAATGGAAACAAATTAATTGGCCAACTGAAAATATATGGAAAAAAAATTTAGCCAGGCATGGTGGAGCATGCTTGTAGTCCCAGCTATTTAGGAGGCTGAGGCAGGAGGATTGCTTGAACCCAGGAGTTTGAGGTTGCTGATGCCACAGCACTCTAGCATGGGCAACAGAGTGAGACTCTGTCTCAAGGCAAACAAACAAAAAAGGTTGGTCCCTGGTTCCAGCGGTTGAAGGCACATTAGTAATTTCATGTCATCCTACAGTTTAATCATGTATCTGTTAAAACAAATAAACTGAATAAACAATAACTGGCATTTAGCTGACACCTCTTTAAAACCTTTGATGCTTTCCATGAGTGGGAGACTAGAACATTATTGAAGTCACTTATTAGAACTGTTTAACTGATAAGATTATACAGAAGAATTACAATGTATTTCTGTGGTATTCAGAACCTTATTCCTTGGCCAATACTTGTTAGAAAAGGTGTAATGGCACTAAATAGCTTTAGACTGTAAACTGCTAGAGTTTACCATTTCAGGTATGTATTAAACAATAAATCCCAAGCAATTTTAATATGGCTTATTCGTCCCCAAAGAGCAGTTAAAACTAATGGAAATATTCCAATTTCAAAAAATTTTATACATTGTGCTTGAAATGCAATGAAGACACATTATTACACAATAATGAGGCAAAGATTTGGCCTATTATCTGGGAAATTAGAGGGTAGACTACCTAGGCTCCTTTTAGCAAAACACTTTTCCAAAAGAAATTTCTTAGTTTTCCTTAAAAAATAACTGTCCTGTCATAAACTAAATCATCTTTTAGTCTTTTGTAAATCCACGCGTCTTTGCTGGGGTGCAGGGCGGTGCCTAAAACACACACGCGCGCGCGCACACACACACACACACACCAAACCCGCCCCCGCCCCCCATAAAACAGGTGCAAGGTTTGCAGCCCTGGGAAGCAGGATGCTCCAGTTCCTGTCCCAGTTCTGCCCAAGCTCTAATTGTGACCTTGGGAAATGTCCCTGTCTTGGGGACTCGGTTTCCCTCTCTTCTCAATTATGAATGCTCGGAGCGTGGGGTAGGATCGGCCCCGAGACATCACAGACACCCGGGCTACAGCCCGCTACAGGTTCACGCAGATCCTCAGCCCTGCTCGTCGCCCCGGCTCTCCCCATCCGCTCAGCCACAGGCTCGCTCCGAGCAGTCTGTTCCCGGTTCCCCCCGCGGGGTACCCTCGGTTCTGCACGGCGCTCCCCCCTTGTGCCTTGCTGCCAGAAAGGGACCTTGCGATCATCCTTCCCTCCGCCGAGAAACGCTCCATCTACCCTTCATCCTCGCCCTGGTCTTTCCCCCTTCACAGAACCCCCGACACTGCTGCACTCGAGAGACTCCCCACCGTGGCTCTGACTGGAGACCCCTTTCCTTCCCTCCCCTCAGGAGACCTCCCGTTCACACCGCCTTCACCTCCGGAGGAGCCCTCTATTCACACAACCCCATTCTTCCTCAGACTCTCCTGTATTTCCATCCGCTGCCTTTTGCAGAGCTCCGAAGGACCCTCAGCTCGAGCCGGAAAAAAAAAAAAAAGCCTCCCCCACCTCCGCCAGCGGGTTCTGGGGACCCCTCTCACCTCCGCGGTGAGAGATGTGTTTACTGAGGAATCGCTGCTTCTTTCTCTGGTGCAGCAAGGTCGGGTATTTAAGCAACAAGAACGAGGTCACCAAGTACCCTCCCAGGGTAGAGAGAAGGTAAAAAGCCGCTGTGGAAGACATCTCAGTCACCGTGTGGGAAGCCTCTCCCACCTCAGGGCCCTCTGAACTCCGCTGCGGCGGTCGCAACGGCTGCGGCGGCGGCGGCTGCTTGAGGTCTGCTCGCCCCCAGCCGGTGCCAGTGCTGCAGCGCACTTGTAGGCGCCTGCCTACCACGCAGGCGCAGCCGGCCCCTCGCGCCCGAGCAACAAAGGGGCTCCGGCACGCAGGCGCGCTCCGACTCCGGAGAAGGAGCCTGCGGAGGTCCTGTAGCGCTCGTTTGTCACCTGGCTTGGCTGTCGGACGCGCCGTGCTTCCGAGAAGCTCCAAACTGAGGAGAAAGCTTGCAAATCTGCTGGTGTCGTTGCCATCGCTCAAGCAGAAAAGGCTATTCAAGGATAGCCTTCGGGAAAGTCTGACATAATTGGAAAATCCACATCAAAAAGGAAAGATTCCAGGGTACGTCTTAGCCTCTACTCTAGGAAATGCAAAGAATTGTTACCGATGAAGGCGTTACAGCTTGCTAAAACAGATAATAAACCCCTCCATTTGTTAGCCTACAGAGAATTTTCCCTATTGCCGAACATACTGTAAAAGGGACTGGTTTATCAGTCAAATATCTGAGCGACCAACCGGCTCCTCTCCTCCCTCCTTTCACCATGAAAGTGCAATCCCTGGCCGGGCGAGGTGGCTCTCGCCTGTAATCCTAGCACTCTGGGAGGCCGAGGTGGGGAGTTCGAAACTAGCCTGAGCAAGAGCGAGACCCCATCTCTACTATAAATAGAAAGCAATTAATTGGCCAAACTAATATATATATATAGAAAAAATTATGGTGGCACATGCCTGTAGTCCCAGCTACTCGGGAGGCTGAGGCAACAGGATCACTTGAGCCCAGGAGTTTGAGGTTGCTGTGAGCTAGGCTGACACCAGGGCACTCACTCTAGCCTGGGCAACAAAGCGAGAGTCTGTCTCAAAAAAAAAAGAAAGTGCAATCCCTATGCCTTATACAGGATAGGCACTGAAGAAATATTTGTTTACCTACAAATCCATTTAAAATAAGGAAACTTTGGCAAGGTTATAAGATATCACCTAAAAATCCTAGAAAGACCGGCAACTAAATTACAGAAGGACCTACTAATTTCCCTTTCATACCACACATTCTAAACTAGGCCCATACTAAGAGCCACATTTCAATGCAAAAGAATTAACCCAGGATTGAGGGAGAAAATTTAGCAAGAAGAGCATGTCTCCCACAGAAATAGAAAGCAGACTGATTATTTAAAATCTTGTGATTCTCGACTCTGGCCTCGAGCAAATCACTCAGTCACTCTTCTATATTGTTGTCTGTGAAATGGGGAAGTTTTGACTAACCGAAAACTTCCAACTCTTAAATTCTATTAATGATCTTGGTTCCGAAAGATTATAGCTTCCTATAAGAAGAGAAAAAAAACTAAGTATAAAATTCCCCCAAATAACCAAACTTTAAAATTTAAAACATTTTAAGGAAATCGTGGATTGAAAAATGTCTTCTGTTAGGAATTAAGGAAAGCATCTGAGCTGGCTCATGCCTGTAATCCCAGTGCTTTGGGAGGCCCAGGTGGGAGGATCCCCTGAGGCCAGGAGTTTGAGACCAGCCTAGGAGACTAGCAAAACCTGTCTCTACAAAAAATTTAAAAAGATTAGCTGGGTGTGGTGGCACTAACCTACAGAACTAGCTAAGAGGGAGGCTGAGGCAGGAGGATCACTTGAACCCAGGAATTCAAGTTTACAATAAGCTACTATTGTGCCACTGCACTCCAGCCTGGGTGACATAGCGAGGCCTTATCTCTTAAAAAAATTGAAAATAGAATAAAATAAGAACTCAACCATCTTTTATCTTTCCAAGAAGTCATTTGTTTTTCTTTAAGTGACCTTTCTCCCCAGTGGCTTCTAAGAAGTCATTTATTCCTCCAGCAGTACCCCTCTTTACCTTTGCATTCTGTATTTTTTTTTTCTTTCTTTCTTTCTTTTTTTTTTTAGGCAGAGTCTCACTCTGTTGCCCAGGCTAGAGTGCTGTGGTGTCAGCCTAGCTCACAGCAACCTTAAACTCCTGGGCTCAAGCGATCCTTCTGCCTCAGCAGAAGAGAATAGACCCCATCTCTACTATAAATAGAAACAAATTAATTGACCAACTAAAATATATAGAAAAAATTAGCCGGCATGGTGGCACATGCCTGTACTCCCGGCTACTCGGGAGGCTGAGGCAGGAGGATCGCTTGAGTTTGAGGTTGCTGTGAGCTAAGCTGATGCCATGGCTCTCTAGCCTGGGCAACAGAGTGAGAAAAAAAAAAAATGTTGAATAAGTCTTGGTTATTTTAATCTACCTTTTATAATCAGATAAACAGTGCCTGGTACATGAAAACACTGTGTTAAGCACCATGACATATCGGAGTTTTTTAGACTAGTTTTGTATTTCCTTTTCTATCTTTCTGTGGTCTTTTCAAACTGGGCTTAGGTTTTGTTTGTTTATGCTTTATATAAGAGTAGCCTAAAATCACTAGGCTGTTTAATTGTCCTTTTTTAAATCTTCCATAACTTTGTATTACTTAGGATGTGGCAAAGGAGCCTTGTTTTATAGGTTGGAACTCCATAATTTGCACAAAGGCCAGCTAATAGTTTGTTTAATTTTCAATGTTCTTCATAATGTCTAGTGGGCAAGTTGTCACAATAGCCTCTTTAGGTTGATGTCTTGAGGAAACAGCCTACTGAACTCCTAACGTGGACATTAGATTCCACTTAAAGCTTCAGCTCATTAAACTGTAAAATGGGGAGATAACTCCCTTATCCACATCAAAGGATAACCAAGGTTTCAAACATGTGAAATGTGTTGAGGGCTTGGCACAGTGGATCGAGACTATAATCCTAGCACTTTGGGAGGCTGAGAGTGGGAGGATTACTTGAGACCAGGAGTTTGAGACCAGCCTGAGCAATATATTGAGACCCCATCTCTACAAAAATAGAAAAATTAGCCAGATGTGGTGCCATCACTTGTAGTCCCAGCTACTTGTGAGGCTAAGGTAGAAGGATTGCTTGAGGCCCAGGAGTTTGAGGTTGTAGTGGAGCTATGATGACGCCACTGCATTCTAGTCTGGACAACAGAGCAAGACCATGTCTCAAAAAGAAAAAAAAAAAAAAGATCATGTGGCCCAGCTCACATGGCTCACACCTTAATCTCAGGGCTTTGGGGGCCTCAGAGAGGATCATTTGAGGTCAGGAGTTGAGACCAGCCTGGACATAGCAAGCACCCTGACTCTACAAAAAATTTAAATATTAGCCAGCACTATGCCCACAATAGTCCTAGCTACTTAGGAGGCTGGGAAGGTATCCCTTGAGCCTGGGAGTTCATGCTACTGCATACCAGAACTCCAGCCTGGGCAACAGAGAGAAACCCTTTTCCAAAAAAAAAAAAAAAAAATCATGTTAATTGCAGTTCTTTGTAAACTCTAAACTGTTTTAAATATAAGGGATAATCACTTTCCTTTTGTTTGTAACTGATATATCAGAATCGATCATCTTCTATACAACTAAATATTTTCAAACTATTCCATACTGCAAAATCTTGCCCATATTTATAGCAATAAAAATAATTTCTGGGGGGTTTATCATATATAATGAGTGAGTGTGCACCATTTGGGGATGGTCATGCTGGAGACTCAGACTTGTGGGGGGGGGGAGGGATGGATTTGAAACCTTAAATCTGTATCCCATAATATGCCAAAATAAAAAAATAATAATAATTTTATGTCTGATAAACTGTAAGAAAAAATTCTAAAATGTAAATTATATAAATGTAAATTATATGGTTCCTTTTTATTATAAGGGACTATATAAAATGAGAGGACTATATAATATCAGTTGATAATTACTTTTTTTTCTTCTACTAAATTACAAGTTTGAGTATCAAGTGATTTTTATCTTTTTTTTATCCTAGCAATTTTCTCAAGGCTTTTAGTTTATAATCCCATTTAAAACATTGTTTTTCAACATACCTGTGTTGTTTCTGTAAAACTGATATGTGGTCATCTGTTATTGTTTAAGAATTTTTTTAAAAAAAACAAACATTAAATGTAAGTTATGTGAAATTCCACTGCTCTACTAATTACAACATTTTAGCAAACATCATCTGATATTTCTGTGCATGTATACACACACACACAAAAATACTAAATATATATATATAATATTCAATTTTATATAATGCAATCACAGAATTCATCTGCTCTGTAATTTTTTTTTTTTCTTGAGACAGGGTCTCCTTATGTTGCCAGGCTAGTCTTTAATTCCAGAGCATAAGTGATACTCTCACCTCAGCTTCTGAATAGCTGGGACTACAGACCCATGTCATCAAGCCAGTTTGTAGTCTTTTTTTTTCTTGTTTTTTTAAAGCCAGTCAAATTTAGCAGTGGGGATTGTATACCAGCTTTAGTGAAACTAATGTTAATAAGTTCTGATAACCCACTACCATTGGACCAGCCTGTAATTGTTTTTTTGTTTTTTGAGACAGTCTCCACTCTGTTGCCAGGCTAGAGTGCCATGGCATCAGCCTAGCTCACAGCAATCTCAAACTCCTGGGCTCAAGCAGTCCTTCTGCCTCAGCTCCCCAAGTAGCTGGGACTACAGGCATGCGCCACCATGCCCGCTAATTTTTCTATATAATTTAGTTGGCCAATTAATTCCTTTCTATTTTTGGTATAGACGGGGTCTCACTCTTGCTTAGTCTGGTTTCGAACTCTTTACCTTGAGTGATCTGCCTGCCTCAGCCTGCCAGAGTGCTAGGATTATAGGTGTGACCACCGTGCTGACTCAAAGGGCAGTTTTTAAGTGAGAATATTTTTTCAACATCTTTTCTATTCAGATCAATACTATCCTAACTCTTAAATTGAATTAAGGCTGGTAACCTTGTTGTTACGACTTCTGTGTAGCTTGTGCATGCTACTTAAACTCTCCAGACTTCAGTTTTCTCTTTAAAATGAAACAGGCTAGTGATTCTTTTTTTTTTTTTATTTAATATTTTCTAATTTTCTTTTTTTGTTTTAATCTTCTGCTGGCATATTTGACTAGTGATTCTTCTTTCTTTTTTTTTTGAGACAGAGTCTCACTCTGATGCCCAGCTAGAGTGCCATGGCATCAGCCTAGCTCA